TGTGGCGGCTATTCGGCAGAGCAGAAGTGGACCTCTTCGCGTCAGAGGAGAATGCTCACTGCCCAATATTTTTTTCAAGGAGCGAGGACGCGCTAGCCCAGGAATGGCCTCGCCGCCCGCTCTATGCATTCCCTCCGATCGCTCTGCTACCGCAGGTAATTCAGAGGATCAGGGACACACGCCACTCGGTGCTCCTCATAGCCCCGCGCTGGGAGAGTCAGACTTGGGTTCCGGAGCTCACTCAGCTGTCACAGACAGCCCCGTGGCCCATCCCAGTCAGAGCAGATCTCCTCTCTCAAGCTCGCGGCACGATCTGGCACCCCCATCCACAGCGCTGGGCGCTCCATGCATGGGTGATCAACGACCATTCGTCGATTTGCCAGAGGGAGTAAGAAACACTATCATACAGGCTAGAGCACCTTCCACGAGAAGGCTCTATGCATCTAAATGGTCTGTGTTCTCAAAATGGTGCACCGACAAAAATCTGGACCCACGGTCGTGCGAGGTGCCGTCTTTGCTTGTTTTCCTTCAAGAGATGCTGGACAAGGGCAGGTCCCCCTCCACTCTCAAGGTTTACGTGGCAGCCGTCGCGGCGTTCACTGAACCCCGACGCGCTCAGTCCCTGGGCAAAGACGAGTTAGTCATCCGCTTCCTCAGGGGAGCTAAGAGGATGAACCCTCCGCGCCCCCCTTCGGTTCCTATCTGGGATCTTTCTATAGTTCTCGAAGCTATGAAAGCACCCCCGTTCGAACCGCTCGAGTCTGTGGACCTAAAATACCTCTCGCTCAAAACCGTTTTTCTGACGGCTCTGTCCTCAGTAAAACGCATGGGCGATCTTCACGCGCTCTCATCCAGTGTCTTGAGTTTGGACCGAATGATTCTGTCGTCATTCTCAAACCTAGGCATGGCTATGTCCCGAAGGCGATTGGTACCCCGTTCAGGGCTCAGATTATTTCCCTATCGGCTCTACCTTCATCCGATAGTGAGCGCGACGCCAATCTCCTCTGCCCGGTGCGGGCCCTGAGATTGTACACTACGCGCGCTGCCGCGTTCAGACGCGCTGAGCAGCTTTTCGTGTCGTTTGGGGGGCGCACCAAGGGTCTGGCCGCCTCAAAACAGACGCTGTCTAGATGGATAGTGGACGCGATTGCCTCTGCTTACGCATCTAAATGCCTGCCCTGCCCTCTGGGCATCAGGGCTCACTCCACTAGAGGCATGGCCTCATCGTGGGCATGGTCCTGTGGAATTTCCATTCATGACATTTGTGTGGCCGCGGGATGGGCCTCCCCGTCCACCTTTGTCAGATTTTACAACTTGGAAGTTCCCGCCTTGCAGGCAAAAGTACTAGCCGTCTAACGATCAGCTCCCTAAGAAGCTGCATTACTGGGAGTCCCTCACACAACCGGTTCGCCCCTTGTGCTCCCCTTAGATGCTTATGTATACACTTCATGTGCCCGCTCTGCCGGCCTCAAATTACATTCACTCCACGTTAAGAATCCCCCGGTATCTCCCCGGGATTCATGAGTGGATTCATAGCGCGCACGGCGTTGACCAGGTGTTCCCGCAGCGTAAGCTAGCTTACGCAATACGAGAGAACCTCTCGTAAAAGAACGAATCGGTTACCTAACGTAACCTCGGTTCTCTCTAGATGAGGGAACGAGTATTGCGTTCCCGGCCGTGCTTGCGCTACTAGCGTTTCGCTTCACGCTGAAATGAATCAACATATAAGCCAGGGAGAGACTGTTATATACACCATAGCCACGCCCATTCTGGCGGGCCATGACGCAATGAGCGCACGGGCGCTTCTCATTGGCAGCGGGTTCAGCCCCGCTCTCCCATAGGCTTAAGCAGTTCTCTCTGAGCGAACCAATGAGCCGCTAGCTAGCCTGCTCAAGGTCTGCCGCAGAGGAACTGCGTTGTCAATGGATACAAATTATGAAATAATTTTTTGGCTTCAAATTCTCAGCAAAGATGAATCTTTCCCGCAGCGTAAGCTAGCTTACGCAATACTCGTTCCCTCATCTAGAGAGAACCGAGGTTACGTTAGGTAACCGATTCGTTTAGACTGGCTGCCTGCACATTCACTGTCCTCGCGGCTGCGGCTGCTGCAATTGGAAGGGGCTGGCTGCAGGACGACTCAACTTCCACGGACAGTTTTTAATATTTTATATCAAGATTTTGCTTTAGTATAATTTTCGGGACAATTAAGGCCGGTTTCGGGATTCGGGACAACAGCTTAGATTTGGGGACTGTCCCGAATTTTTCGTGACTTCTGGTCACCCTAGGGAGGAAAAATCTGAGGGGGCACGTGCCGTTTCAGCACAACTGTTTTCAACATCGAATATAATGGTAAATGTTTCTTGAGCACCAAATCAGCATATTATAATGATTTCTGATGGATCATGTGACACTGAAGACTGGATGATGAAAATTCAGCTTTGTAATCATATGGATAAGTGACATATTAAAATATATTTTCAGATAGAAAACTGTTCTTTTAAATTGAAATAATATTTCACAATATTACTTTTTATGATCATACAAAACATTGAAAAAATCTTACTAACCCCAAATTTTTTAACTGTAGTGTATGGACTCAATTGACCAATATGACCAATTTGTGTGGCAAACTTTGGTGGTTGGTAAACTCTTACTTTTTATATATATATTATTTGAATTAGAAAAAACAATTCTTTTATTTGTCTTCCTTTGGTGACGGGGGTTAAAACTTTAACCAAAGGGGTCAGACTCTTACCAGCTGAAATAATACAGTTATTTGTTCATGCTCTTTTTAAAGTCATCATGAAATCAAAATAGACAATTCTTTGTTATTGAATATTGCAGAATTTAGTATAAATTATTTTATCCATGCACATCATTTTTTAATGCCCTTTATATGCCCTCATACTTTAATTTGAGGGTCAGACCACGCCAGGGGCGGATCTACAGGGGGGCAAGGGGGGGCAGGTGCCCCCCCACTCTAGAGCCTTGCCCCCCCAGCTGCCCCCCTAACTTTAATGATCCAAAAACTGTACTTGTAAAAACAACCTGCCACTATGTCCACAAGCTTCTCAAAACAGTGAACTAAACAATACATTTACCAAAAGTGAACAATTTCATTTTTATTTTTAAATATATTATTAGCCCCTCCCCCCTGCGTCCCTGATTCAAACGTGCAGAGCGGGCGGCGTTGGCGGCTCACACACACACACACACACAGCGAGTCTGCTGCGGTAAGGTGGCCCTGCAACCCGACTGGAGAGACTGAGCTGCCCCAGAGCCTCTGAAGGTGAAGTGAGTTTCCCCAGGTGTAGTTTAAACACACACGTTTAACTTAAAGTTACATTTGTAATGAATGTATTGTATACTAAAGACGATTCAGCATCAGCAAAAACAGCGCGTCTATTACGTTAGCCAAAATCAGCGGTCAATTCGCTCCCTTGTGATTTGTAAGAGCACTCTTCCCTTTGATTAGACTAATTTTGATTTTAGTAAAGACAAGAACAGCTTAAGGCGAGACACAAAAACATCCGTTTTTTTTCACTGGTTAATTTTAAGATTTTGGGCTTCTTTCAGACTTGTAGTGAATTTTTTTTTCCAAAAAAACACATTTAGGACTTTATTTTACTACACTTTGTCTATTTGCGTCAGTAGATTTCTCCTAAATTCAACAAAAGTTGTCGTTCTAAATCAACATGCTGCTCCGCGATTGCTGCATGTCAATGTCATCACATACATCTCTGTTGGAAAGCTCTCTCTCTCCTGTACATTGTTGTCGTATCCAAATATGGTCATTTCCTTTTAATCAGTAACCAATCGTGAAAGTACAATGGACATTTAACTCTAAAACCGAAATCTCATTGGCTGATGTCAATTTCTGACAACGTGATTCGTTCAGATGCATCACGTGACGTGCTCTGACATTTAGATATGCGTTTTTGACTGTTTTTCTGTTCAGTTGAAGGCCATTAATGCTGTGATTTAGGTGGTTTGTATTGTTGTTGCTAATGATTTGATAAGATATTGTGTCTGTAAATAGTTGTTTCCACTAAAAAAAGTATGATTTTTTACATTACAAATCTTTAAATGCTGTTTTCTCAAAATTATTTTTTTGTCATTCTCCAGTACAAACATCTCAGCCTGTGTAGCACCTATGTACACCAAACTTTCCAGTTATACACTTAGCAGTATTCTGAAGATATTTTCAGAGGGATTTGTTAATAAATCATTCCTAAAAACCTTTGTAGTGTGTAAGGGCATGATTAAACAATAACGTTAATCATTTAATAATGATTAAAAGTGTTTTTGTGTTTGTTTTGTTTAAGCAATTCACATATAGGAATTCCCATGTACCGTCTACCCCTGCCACCCTGCCAAGACCTCTTGCCACCCCTTTGCCCCCCCATGTAAAATTTTCTAGATCCGCCACTGGACCACGCATAGTAAAATAGTCTTATCAGCCAAAATAATACTATCAGTAATTCATGCACTTTTTAAACTGTAACCGGTTTAAAAAAACCTGTTTAAAAAGTAATACCTTTGTTTCTCTCCACACTTTTTTATTTTGTTAGTCTACATTGAGGCGTAATGTAAAACATACGTACCTTTTTTAAAATGACCATATCTTGTATACTTCATGTTAGAACTGATTTCAATGCCAAATATTTCATTTTTAAAGCACTTTATTGACAACAGTGAGAATGTTCTGTACAGGCATTTTCATAACATCACTACACTATAGTCTAATAGATGTTTTTCTCGATATTTTAAGACACTAGCTATGCTTTGTACATTATTTTTGATTGTGATTAGGACAGCACACACTGTGAGCAATTTATTTTCCTGCTTGTTATAGTTCAAAGAAATGATAGAACAACATACGATAGGAGGGGAAGGTACGTGGGGGTAAAATTGGAGTTGAACATTGTTTGAAATGCTTCAGTACAGGGAGACTCCACAATGAGTAGCGGGTTTAATTTTTTCTTTACATAAATGTTCTGTGCTAGAACCATGGTACAGTGATGTCAGATGGTAAAATCATGGTACTTTGATATTTACAGTATATGGTACTGAACACTTACCACATTAATGTACAATTTACATGGTACTTCAAAGAATACTAATAATGTCTAAAAACATGTTTGTCCAATGAACATGTTTGTTAGTGTTGTTTCTTTTTCACCGCGTGTCAGAGTTTTTTAAGCTCAAATACAGAGAGCTGACCATCGTAGTCTCCTCAGGCAGCGGCACCTTCATGTCTGTGTGTTTCATGCACAGGAGAGTTTGCAACAGTTTGGGGAACTTCACAGTGAAAAGCAGGTAGATACATGGATTGGCAACACTGTTCAGACTGGCTAGCAACATGAGGATGGTGAAGATTGCAGCTGAAAAATAAAATTGATAATATTATTGGTTAGATACAAGAAATTACATTGGATAACATTCTCAATAAATGCCCTTAAACATGATTTAGCAGTGCTGTGTGTTACATGTAGGGGGAGTGTGAAGTGTAACATGGGGTTAATTGGAACATCTTCCATCATCTTAACCAATTAAAAAGTTACAAGGGGTGACATCTCCATAAGTATCTCCACAAATTTTAATGTGAGAAAACAAAATATCAATATTACATTACACGAGAGTATATGAAGTTTTAACATCTTCTCTCATGTAATGGAAATCTATATATAATCATTACGATCACAACTAATAATTGCTTTAATGAGCTCACGGTTTCTGCTTAAATTAGTACATGATACTAGCTAACTACATGATTTGTATTACCTTAGAACTCTATATTTCATATGGACAATGTAATCTCTGATAACAAATTAAATTGTAATGTAGAAACATGCATTTTCTGTAAAGATGCTTTGAAACTGGTTATTGACAACACAACAGTAGAAATATTTGCATTTAGTTTTCTTTCCAAAATCAACCTCACCCTATTCTTGTAAAGACATAACTATTATCAACCATTTTTACCTTTATATTAAGATGGCATTTGTAATTTATTAACACTTAATGACCAAAACGTCATTGCTAGAAGAATTTATCTTACTCTCAGTCGGAGCGTCGGTGTCCCACACAGACCACAGCTGCACGGTGAAGAACGGAGCCCAGCACACGGTGTAGGCGAGCATGATCACCACTGTCATCTTCACGGTCTTAATCCGAGACTTGGACACAAACACCACGTTGCTGGCTCTGGAGGAAAGAGAGTTCGGGTGTCGATCACCTCCCTGCTGCTGTTGCTGCAGCGTCTTCAGGTACAGGTTGATCTGGAGCGCGCGGCAGATGCGCACCTGGCACACCGTCACAGTTACGATGGGCACCAGAAATATCACCAGTGTCGTCCACGTCACATACGCTTTCGGTCCCCACGGCTGAATAAACTCGGCCCAGCAGTCGTAGACACCCGGGGCGATTTGAACCCTGGAGAAAATAAACAGTTGCGGGACGCTAAAGACAAACGACACAAGCCACGCGACGCACACGGGCAGGTTCCAGCGCGCGCGCCTCCTCTGGAAAGTCACCATGGGGTTGCAGATCGCCTGATAACGGTCCACCGTCATCACAACTATCATGTAAGTGGAGGCGAACATGCCGACGATCTGTAGATACTTGACCACACGACATACGAGGTCAGGACCGATGAAACGGTCAGTTATGTTCCACATCAGCTGAGGGCACACCTGGAAGAAAGCGACCACCAGGTCTGCCAAGCAGAGATGGGTCACAAACACACGCATCCTGGACACCTGCTGTCTCTTCCTCCACAGAACCAGCAGCAGACCGAAGTTCAGAGATGATGCGGAGAGAAAGATGACGCTCAGCAGCGCGATCTCGATATGAGCCAAGCGCTCGTTCCGGGGTTCATCTCCGGTTACTTCCATCTCTAAAGTTAAATTGCTTAAGTTTATTGTGAAGAGAGACATTATCCTAATATTTGTAGAGAGTCTTAAAAATAATTTAAGTTCAGAACCTGCAGTCCAACTAACCCTGTGCACGACTGCCAGTAGCCTATATTCACGCGTCTGCGCATCTGTGCGCGTGAGTGAAGACTTGAGGATTTATACCTGGGTCTGCTGGATGGGATGGAGGGTGGGTTCTTCATTCAAAACTACTCATGAACACAAAATGGCATTCAGAAATCTGCATGATGAAAAGATGAAGTATGATTTTTTTTTAGACAGTTTCACTTTATAAATAGGTCTTCAAAATATATCGTACTTGGTTTCCATGCAGTTTGCCAAAAAATCGTCACTATGAAAAACAGTACAGATTCATGTAAAAATAAAAAACCTCCAGAGACTAGCCTAAAACATAAACCATGTGAGAAATTGAATAATTCCCATTTATTTCTATTGTATTATTTCTATTGTGTTTAGGGTCAATTTGACCCTACATTTTTTAATGTTCAAAATCTTGCTGCATAAACGAAATAAATAAAGACGACTTTGTTACGACTACTTGTGGTGACTATTAGCACAGTCACTGAGGTGCAAATAACTACAAGTATAAATAGTAGCCTTCTCAGTCAATTTATTCTCAAACCCTTACACTGGTAAAATGGGTTTTTCAGTCTAGTAATTGAGATCCAAAACAACTAATAAACAAAAACATACTTTGTCTGTAATATAATAAAATAAAAACATAATTTGACTGTGAAAATCAATCTTCAATTTCGAGTAAACTTTGAATCTTAAAATGTCATAAGTTCATGTATTCCATATTTTAGTGTTTGACAAGCTACAATAAAGTTTTTCTGGTTTGCTGTTTTTTTTAAAGTGTTGACATTTTTTTCCATGGGGGTCAATATGACCTCAACACAAATGTAACAATTTGTGAAGCCTTTCCAAAACACATCTGGGGTGTAACTTTGCATGCATATTCATGACCCTAAATGAAAAATATTCACTACATTTCAAAAATAGTTAATGTTTCAAGCAGTTGAAATTCGAATGGGGTCAAATTGATCCCAACTCAAATATACCAGTAGTATACCACGATTAACCGGTAGAAATTTGTCAAACGTTAGAAATTTTGGACAATACATTGCCTTGCTACGGAGTCACAAAAGCTTATTGTGCGTTTTTAAGTATTGTGGTTTAAAAACAAGTGATTTTAAACCATTGAAGCACAGTAAGCTGCGAAAGACAACTCATTCCCCTATATGCAAGTGCGGTCAGACTGTTTCTCAGCCTGAATTTCAAGTGCTATTTCTCAGTGCTTTCTTGCTGTCTAAGAGACGCTGCTCATAAAGCGTGTGAGAACTGAACTGAGTGCTTTTTGCTGACTAATTGGGCTTGAGCAGTTAAATACACATACGTGAACGTAAACAGTGGAGAAAGAAAGCGCACAAGTATATTGGATCCGTGTAGTCGGACTTAAAGTGACAGCATCCAAATTTACCTGCTGTCATTATTAATGTTAATCATCAAACAACAAAAAAGAAAATCTCTCACCGCTCTTCACTGAATCACTTTTGTAACTTTAATAAGGCAGTGATGACTATGCAGTGTTGTATACATTTGATTACTTAATGTAGTATTTCTTATTTCTAGTGCTTAAACTTTTTCAGGTAGGTCTATTTCATTTGTGTCTTTGTTCTTTCTTTATCACTGTTTCCTTTGTCTTCAGTAAGCTTGAGATTATTTTTTACTTAGGCTAGTATTAGTTTTTTGTGATATTGAAAATGATGACAAGAATTATAAAATTTCAATGGTATCAATACATTTTGATATCATAAAAACCTTATTTAAAGCAAAAATAACTATTGTGATATATATCATTATTGTGAAATTAAATTACTCATATCGTGATATAAGGTTTTGGTCATATCGCCCACCCGAGATATATATATCAAACCATTAAAGATTACCATCCATGGACTTAAAGCAAGACACCTCGACACTGTAATACGTAATGTGTGCTACTTTATTTAAGTAAACACCTTGAGAGTTGGTTACATAACCATCTAATAACTATGAACTGTTGACAAAAGGAATATCATTTTTCCTCATAATGAAACCATGGCTACGGCGTCATATATGAGAAGATGTGATCTCTGCAGGAGAGCTATATTACTTCCTTTCCTATAATAATTACACCAGTTCACTAATTACACCACTTCACTCTTCTGAAAGGGACAAATCCCACATCAAAAAACAAATTCAAAATGAAATTGCATTGTGTCATTCAATTTAGACGCATCCTTGCTCAAACCAATTATATTAATGAATAAATGAATGATATTATGTCAAACTAAATCACCATTTATGAAAGGAAAATGATAGGGAAGTGTTTATGATGTTTAACATTCTAAGATCGCTTTGATACTCCAAGACATTTTCTGCATCCCGAAAACATAGCCATTACAAATTCCAAAGATAGCAGCCATAGATATTCCTCAGCTTTTTGTAGCATTGTATCTGCAAAGCCACAGGACAAAAATAATAAGGGTTTATAAGTGCCCCATGCAGACCTGATGGTCCCTCCACACTATTCGTTGACACTATGGAGGTGCACCTTCTGTACACAGACTCAAAATGCACTATAGAACATGCATGCAAAGTCAGTAGCACTTCTGACACTAGTGTGTTTCCTTATCTGACATCAGGATCTGCTGAGAGTGGCCAGAAGTTCCTCTTTGCTCATCTGATAGCGGCTCTTCTTCCACGTGTCCCTAAGCTCCTGAAGGATGGTGCCAATCTCTTTACCCGAGGTAATGCCCAGCTTGCGTAGGTCATGCCCATTCACTGGGAAGCGGGGGATGGACCACCTTCTCAGCTCATCTAAAAGTTTATTTTCTCCCTGATACTTCAGAAGCTCCAGTACTTTACTCTGCGATTCTGGCTCTCGAGACTGCAATGGGGGGGGGGGAAAAAGATATATTTATATAAATATATTCATTATATATTTAAATGTAAGGGATAATCCGTGTCTAGCTGTGCATTAAACGATTTTGTGGAGGCAAAGAACCGCCAGAAGCAAAGCTTAAAGCTGTTATTGATGTTTGAAGCTCAATATTTGACTGGAAGGGTAAAATGGATGGTTATTTCCGTCAGTTACAGCTCATTAGATCTAGCATTCTGGCCGCTTTGAATCAGACACAGAGGTAAAGTAGTGCTTAAGATTACATTTATTTGAATGAATTATAGCATTTATCTGAATTAATTATCGAAAGAGGAAGTTGCGTACATGCATCTGTCTCTCTCTCTCTCTCTCTCTATTAACAACGAAGCTGTGAGTTTAATTACTTCAGAATAGTGATGTAAGCTGAGAAATATAATGTAGCAATTCAGTAGCCAAGCTATTTTATTAATAAAAGTCACGGGGCAGCGTTGATAAGTTTCTGTGCTCCTGAATGTTTCTGTGTGCGCAGCGTGATCTCCACTCTCTGTGTGCGAGTGACGTTCTGTATGTGTGTGTGTGCGCTTAAATGAAAACAGCGCATTAATATAGACCGGTGATTAAACTGACTTGGCACACCTTCCAGCCAATCAGAATAGAGTATTCAGACAGACCATAGTATAAACATATATAATATTAAAATAGTTATTATATAAATATATATTTATATATATTTTTTTTTAATAATAAATAAAAACTATATAATGTGGAAATAAAAATATGAAAAAAAAACAGCGTTGTTATTGTTAACTAAAACTATCAAAAATCATTTTCGCTAACTGAAATAAATTAATATAAAAGAAAAAAAAATATTAAATGAAAAACAAACGAAAATTAGAAATGTTGCCTTGGCAACTAACTAAAATAAAAAAATGTAATCACTAAAATTACTAAAACTGAAAACTTAAAACTAAATAGAAATAATATTAAAAATTACTGCAAATTAAAAGCTAATTAAAAATATCAATGAACAATAGTATAACAAAATAACTAATGTATAAAAAAATCAGAAATGCGTAAAAGTAAAACTGTAGTAAGCAGAATATGAGTCACTGGGCCTTTTTCGAATGAGTCTTAATGATTGGGGATAAAGTGTGTCTTCTTACTGTTTGTGTGACACATACATTTTTTTAATGTAAAAATGCTTTAAAAGGAATAAATCAATGTACAACAACTAATTTTTGGTAGTAAACATTAGAGAGGGAGCCCAGGAGGGAAATGTACATACATCAATTATGAAATCTGTGTATGGTTTCATGCTGTCACGTTGATCCTGTCCCTTAACGAGATCTCGTCTGTGTTTGACCAGGAAGAGGCCCAGGTTTTTCTCTTCTCTGGACAGCTTCAGTCGCAGATCCAGTTTCTCCACATCCTCCTGGCTTCGGAATAGAGCAGCCAGGATAGTCATGGGTTTAGGAGAGCTATCGCGAGCCCTCTGCCAGATCTGCTTCATCTCTCCAACATTGCCATCTGCTGGAAGACCTGCAGGGAAACACACAGTAAGTCAGAATATTTGCAAAAAATTATTTAACATTTTTATATAACCCATTAAATCTATTGTATTTTGTAAATATAAACAAATTTTGATGGCAGCTAGACACTAGACTAGATTTGGGACAGAGGCAAAATAAAAGTGGAAAGCTTCTAGAAAATCCAAGTTAATCTCTTTTGAAACAGAAGTAAGTGAATCGGTAATAGGTGAGGGTGTCGTGATTGAGTGTAAAAGGAGCTTCTCAGTCTTTGCAAGCAAAGATAGGTCATGGCTCATCACTTTGTGCCAAATATCATGAGAAAATTGTCAAACAATTCAAAAATCACATTTCTCAATGCAAGACTGCAAAGAATTTAAATCTTTCACCATCAACCAAACATAATATTGTGAAAAGACTTAGGGAATCCAGGGAAATCTTAGTACATGTAGGGCGAGGCAGGAAACCGCTGTTGAATGTGCATGACCTTTGAGCCCCCAGATGGCATTGCATGAGAAACCATCATGCTACTGTTTAATATAGCCACATGGGCTCAGGAGTTCTTTGGACAACCGTTTTCACTTAAAACAGTCTGACGCTCCATCAAGGAATGCCACTTGAATCTCTCTTACACAAGGAGAAATCAATACATCAGTTCTATGCAGAAATGCCGACGAGTTCTCTGGGCCCGAGCTCATCTCCGATGATCCAAATCACAGTGGTCTGCGGTCAGATGAATCCACGTTTCAGCTTGTTTTGGGGAAAAATGGACATTGAGTTCAGTCCCAAAGACGAAACCATTCAGACTTTCATCAGCAGGTACAAAAGCAAACATCTGGGGGTGCGTCAGTGCAAACGGCATGGGTGACTTGCATGTGTGTGAAGGTACCAAATATTGGGATTTTGCAGAAACATTTAATGGCATCAAGATGACATCTTTCCTGGGAAGCAAGACAAAAGAGTGTGCTACAAAAGAGTGGTTTTTAGACACTCTACACCGTAAAAGGGTTGTGCTTGACTGTCTGCCTGCAGTCCAGATCTGTCTCTTATTGAAAATGTAAGGCCCATCATGAAAAGGAGAATGATGACCATGGACTGTTGAGCAGCTGTCTTGTGTCAGGTGAGATTGCGCAAAAAATCCACTTGCAAAACTGCAACAATTAGTACTCCAAACTAATAAAAAGTGTAAATAAAAGGAAAGGTGATTTGAGGTTGTGACCACTTTTATTGGAGTGTTCTGTTGCCATCAAAATCTAAATTTGATTATATTAACAAAATAAAATTAAGTTGTAGAGACTTTAAGGATGAACCAAACACAAATTAATCTTTCTAATCTCTCATGGGATTCATTCAAATGTGATTCAGCATTTCGGATCTGAATACCACATTCCAAAGTCACAAGACTGGCTCCAAATTGTCTAGAAAACCCCCCAGAGAAGTCTTTTATGGCCCCGCAGGCATCAGAGATAAGCCTAAACAGGAAGAACGTTGTCACTGTTTCATCCTTAAGCAAGACAAAGCTGCTCAGAAATGGTGAAACGAGGCCTGACCACCAAGGGGCCTGACCACCTTTGACCTCCCTCAGCATCACCACTGCTGAGCAGGACAGCGATGTAAGACAGACCACGCTTCCATGGAACGTGAGAGACTTACACAGACTTTACATATCAAACCCATTAAAACTCACGCAGAACAATGCTCCGTGGACTTAATCAAACATCATAATTCTTGTTGTTCCTACAATTCATGTTTGTATTATGCGTAGATCACATATAAATCATGTAATTGTGATATAACTTTGTGTATGGATGAAAGGGTATCGTGCTTCCAATCAAAAGAATCGTATGCCCTTAATTCAAAAGGTGGCTTGTTTGAAATCTGTGTAAAATGTTTTGTATGATTATAATAATCTATAATGTTTAAACTGGGGTCTCTTGTTTCTCTGCTAAGTGCTGGAACCCAAGCAGATCCCAGATAACGATAAGTAGGAACGATCCACCTCCTAAAATGATGCCATTGTCTCATTGGTCAGAATTCTCCAAAAGAGGTTGGACTAACGTTTAAGTTAAAGACCCGAACAAAGGGTAGTGTTAGAAAAAGAAATTCGGTTCAGAGAGCAGTTCGGGGTTGCCTTTCGGTTTTGAGTTCGGTTCGGTGTTGAATTAAGTTTTGCGCCTCTCTCTAGCAACAGCAAGAGAGTGTTCCTGTTCGTGCTTCTCTCTGAAAACACCAAAGAGCGTGTTCCCACGCTTCTACATCGACCAGACCAAATTAGACCAGCAGACAAATAACCCATCAAGATCGGGGTTGAAACAGCTCATTCAAGCCATCTAACTCGTCTTACTTTCATTTCTTCCTTTATTTTCTTTTTTCGTAAAAGTCTCGGTTCAAAGTTAAGTTGCTGCGAAGTTCGTTTAAACGTCTCTCCTTCAACGCGCTTCGAACTGTAAAGACTCTTATTCGCCTGCCAATTACACGTGACCGGCTGTTCAGAAACTTCCATCCAGGCACTTCAAAGACAACCAGCCACACGGACCCGGTCGGGAAACCCCTTTGACGAAGCACCGCAAAAAGGGAACTCCCTAAGCAACGCAAAGACAAGCAAGTAGCAGCTACTCCAGACTCTTAACTGAACTGGTGCAAATGTAAATTGAATAACCTGTCTAAGAAACGAAGGTTTAAATTAATGCTTGGAGAGCTCCAGACTAACTTTTTGCCTTGGTTGCACTGGTGCGCCTAACTTTTTTATTTAGGTGCACCAGCACAAAATTTAGGTGCACTAAAATTTTTCCTCGTCTCGCGTCGCCTTTAACGCCACAATTTCAAGGTCACCTTTTTATCACGCTCCATATACATTCATATATATTATGTAAATGCTTTTAAACAAGAATAATAATAATACATTTTTTTTTGAAGCACAATTATACTGTATATAAAAATGTTAATCTTTAAAAAAAATAAAACATTTAAAGTGCTGTTTTTACATTGTTCAAGTTAGGGCAGGGTATTGACACAAATTTCACAATTCGATTCAATATTGATTATTTTGGATATCAGGTACAATACATGGCAAATTTTCTCAAGGAAAACAAATCTCTTAACTAATGCTGTAAACTGGGAGTCAGTTGTAGCCCACTATGCTTCATTAGCCTACTATAATATTGAAGGTAAAAATGACCTGATTTTTACACAAACACTTAAATTACACTTTTATTTATTTTTATAATAATAAAGTTATATGAAATATAAACATTTAAATGGTGGCTGCATAAAAACTTGCCAGATTTTTTCAAACAACATGCATTAAATATTGAAAAACATTAAAAAATTATAATGAATATGGAATATGGTGCATATATTTGGCAAAATGCTCCTCCCTAGAGTTAATTTTTCTAGCTAGCTAACGAGTTTATGGTCACTGGATATGTTTTTTCTGAGGTAAATGTGACGTTACATGACATTGTTTACAAGCGTTTTACTGACGTCTTTCCACGGTTGAAACACTGATTGAGCGATTCCATGTGAAAGATACGGATTTCGATAAGTTGTACCCTATCTTTTAACACACTTTCAGATGCTCGTTCATGTTTATTTCGCGCTGTAACTGGTATTATTAAGGCGGAAGAGTAGATCATGTGCGCTCGCGCTGCTGCTTCTCTGGGGCTGAGCCAGAGCGATCTTACGCCACAGCGTCAAAACACTATTTATGTTTTTGAATTTCATAAGAAAATGGACCTAATTTGAAATCTGAGACTTTGTTTCATATCAATAGTAACAAAGCACAAAGATTATTGCAATTTATTGGATGGGATGCTTGCTACATGTTCCATTCATTCATCAACTGAAAACAGCATAGCCCAACGGTTCGTAAAATGAGAATCGATTAAAATCGAGAAAACAATATTTTTTACCTAGTTCAAGTAGCCTACATTTTTTAAAGTTTCTTCGTCGTCTGTTTTCTTGCGTTTATTTAGCTGATGCTGCTGATTGCCGTAACTGATTCTCTGGTGCTCACGTCGCAATTTAGTTCTATCACACAGACAGCACGGAGCATTTTAGTCCTACAGGAATATCTGAACCACAGCCAATCAGAGGCAAAGACCAGCCCAATCTCTATCTCTGATTGGTTTAGACCACGATATGATCCAACCATGCGTGCAAGGAGAACAAAAGACTCGTTTGTTGAGAGGCAACGGATGCGATCATGCGAGAAGGTTAGGTGCACTGGTGCGACCTAGGAAAAAATTTAGTCGCACCCTTACAAATTTTGGTCGCATATGCGACCAAATTGGTCGCACTCTAGAGCCCTGGCTTGGTGGTTCGTTCAGGTCATGTCTTACAAAGTGCATCTCACTCTGAAAACTCACTCTCTCTCTCTCTCTCTCTTCCTCTGCGCCTTGTATGAATGCGTGTGTGTGATTGTGTTTAGACCTTAGTTTTATGTGTTTAGAATAGTTAATAAAGTCGTCAATATATTTGAAAAGATATTTGCCTTGTGTTGTGCTTGCACATTTAATGTCTTGTACTGTCGATCTAAAGTTACCTTGCTAATACATAGTGTTTCACTATAGATTGGATATTCATATCTGTTGCCAAGGTTATAATTACGGCCCGTTCAAATGAACTCTAAACGAGTCATTTGCTCGGTTCCATAGTGATTCGGTCAAGATTCATTGCAAATCGATGAATCATTCCTTTTGAGCTAAATTGGCCTTCCGGCCCCCCTTAAATACATTTTATGTATATTATTATTGTGTGATTCGTTACAAAGTTGTTCAGTGAAAACACTGAAAATCTTTTCTTTGTACTTTTGTCGGTTACATAAAGTTGAAAGGGAACTAACAAGTCACAGATTTTAGATGTTATTGCATTTTACAAAACTTTTCTTGCATATTGCATTTTCCCAACTTTTCTTGATTTGAGATAGATAGATAGATAGATAGATAGATAGATAGATAGATAGATAGATAGATAGATAGATAGATAGATAGATAGATAGATAGATAGATAGATAGATAGATAGATAGGCAGGTCATTTATCGTCACTTTATACGTTTAGAGTGTTCAGGCACAATTCCTAACAAATATCTGTATTTCTCACCTGTGTACTGGGCTAGGCCTAACTCATAGACAAGCTCCAGCAGGTGGCCAGCATGGTTTCCAACCAGCATCTTCTTCAGCTCCACCCAGATCCTCTCACCTGAGATAACAGCCAATCCTTTGGCATTCTCTCTTATTGCCTCCAGAGTCTCAGGTTCATGTTGCCCAGGCTCAGCTGCCACCCGCCCATAGAATCTACAGAGCAAAGACCAAAGATTTAAAGATTAACTCTATCATAATTTATTCACCTTCATATCATTCCAAACATGCATTTCATTCTAGCTACTTTCGGTCAAAATACCGTAATAGTGCATAATTACCTGAAATATCTCAAAATTCGAAGGTAGTCCTCTTGGATCCGTAGTGAGGCACTGCCGACAAACCTTACTTTCCTGTTCTTGAGGTCCTCATATCCTTTGAAATAATCATACAGAGTCCCATTCAGCCCTGTAAAAACACAATAAATGTTAATGATTTTAAATCCTGTGAAAGTCAACATTAAATTAATGAGAAATTCATTCATTAAATTGCGAAGCTCATTCAGGTGAAATGTCTCATTAGGAACTCCTTCTGTTTTACCAAGAAACATGGAGTTGATGGTGAGATCTCTGCGCTCTGCATCCTTCTGCCAGTCAGTGGTAAACTCCACCTCTGCGTGCCGCCCATCTGTCTGCACATCCACTCGCAAAGTGGTCACTTCAAAGTTCTCGTTATGAAGCTATATAATGTATAAAGTGGCATGTTTCAGTTTGTTGTCATAACTTTAACATTTTGTGGAAAATTCTCACAAACCAAAATAGATCACCTAAACCCACTGCAAAAGTATAATAACGGTGTAAGAGGTTTAGCAAAACGTAAAATGTTTGAGGAATATATATATATATACAATTCTTCACCTTACCCTGGCAGTAATGGTCCCATGTTTCTCTCCTTTATTGTTTATCATCCTGACTCCTGCTGTCTGGAACATGCTCTTCATTTCCTCTGGAGTGGCTGTGGTGGCAAAATCTACATCTTCGGGCCGGTTCCCTGACAGAAGGTCCCGCACCGCCCCTCCTGCAATCCTCAGCTCAAACTGGTTCTTTTCAAATATTTCTATATATCGTAATAAATACAATACTTTTTGACATATTCCCTAGTAGTACAAAAGTAAATAGCATTGAACTTGAAAATGGTAAAGTTAACCATTCAAAAGTTTTGACATGTGACGCCTGACTGAATGTACCTTATAACATGCAAAATACTTTTGTTTTGGTGACTCAATTATTCTAAAATGTGAAAATACTATTAACAGAGAACGAGTAGGAGATTCCAAACTTCTCGCTAGTAACTGTTACATATCAAAGTGAGTATGATAAAGTGGGGATATCATCAATGTACCACCACTGCAGTTAAAAAAAAGAAAAGAAAGAAAGGGACAGGGTGATGATGGCTTAAGATAAAGTAAGCTTACCAGCAAGGCCAACCAGCCCGTCGGTAAATAGAGACTCGAACTCTTTAGTTTTTAGTTGCATTGTGATCAATGATCTGTGACTCCACGTGAGATGAACTCGGTTGATAAACCTGGGGCTAAGAAATAATTTAGCCCACATCGGTGAACCTAAAGACAACAAAGTCAGTAACTAAAAGGAGCAATAAATGTATCAAACGTAACATAAAACACTTCATATTTATTCACCTGAGGAAAACAACAGATGCTATTTTAGCATATCGGTAGTTTTACTTCCACCGTGAGCAGCCATGACAGATATTCGCAAAGGGGCGTGGTCATGCGACACGCGTTTCCGGGATAGATACGTAATCACACTACCGACCAATGAAAATGGTTTATTTCCATTTTTTCATGCTCCCACCCAACACTCTGCCTTTAGTAATAAAAAAATTATTTACATCTCTTGGCAGAAAACGCCTTTGAATGTTTTCATAAAATGATGTTTATGTTTTCATGTTTATCAGTCAAGTCCCAGGATCACCACTATTTTTTTTTACCTTAACTTTTTATTGAGCATCTAAGTTTACAGGGGATACATCAAAGATCACTTAAGAGAACAAGTTAAGACACTTGAATTGAAGCAAGACACTAAAATATATTTGAAAACAAGATCAGGGATAGTCTACTATAAAATAAAACATCTAAAGCAATATGGATAAATAAAAATTAAAAAGCTGTCACCATAAGGAGATTATCAGGAGGTAACCCTTGTGAAACCATTTTCTTTTCATCAAGAGAACAGTTTTAGTTGCTTTTTTGTTGAACGATGAACAGAGAGTAGAATAGCTTTAAATCAATACACCACAAATTCTTATCTTGTGCTCGCTCACTCAGGGTTTCTCGGTTTATTACGAATATGTCCGAAAAAAAGATTCATGGTTCAGCTGAATCATTCAGAAATAGTTCAAATTCTTCATTTAAAAGATCCGACTCAGGAGAGTCGTTCGTTCGCGAATTGAACAAGGTTACTAGTTAATTAAATCAGGCAATAAATAACCGTAAACTGTATGCGATGAGCATGATTTGCGATGATTGCATTAAGTCCTAAATGTTAAAAAAGGATGGTTTGTTTACATTTGAAGTAACCGCCCATTTAAAGCCAAAGGCGCATCGCGAGAGTGAGGAAGTGCATAAGCTGTGAGCAGCTGCCAGTGTATCCGGTTATTCGGTTTTAATGGCTAAAGTGGAGATCGCCCCTTTGAGAGGCTGGGATGATTTCTATCCAGGCTCGGAGCGCTTCGCCAAACCAGACACGCGAGATTTGGCAAAATGGAACAACAGAGTGGTCAGCAACCTCCTCTATTATCAAACAAACTATCTGGTGGTGGCGATCACTGTATTCATGCTTGTAGGGTAAGTCCATATAGTCTTAGTTAATTTAATCATGCATGCACAATATAGTATTTAACTGTAAATAGACATTTCTAACTATTAGACTATCATAACTATTTCTTGCAATTTAATTCTAACATGTCTTTGGATATATCAACACAAATATCGCATTACAGAAAGTATCGCGATAAGTAATATCCACTTAACTGTAAATTCAGCTTTAAATGAGCATAAATGCATCTCATGTTCTGATAAACTTAACTTTAAATGTGTTTTAAAAATGGTAGCCTAATATGATAATACCGATTTTTGTTTGGATTAGCCTACCATCTTGATAATATGCTACATGAAATTTGCAATATTTCAGTCCCTTGATATTATCATTTGAAACCACCATTATACCCTGGTACACTACTGTACTTTTTTTAAAGGAAATTTCATGTTGTGCTGAAGAAGAAAAAAAGCTAGTTTAAAAAGTTTTTTTTTTTCCTGTCAAAATTAGAACATGAAGTAATTTCTTCCTAAATATAGTTCGTGGATTGTTAGTGATATGTGGGCAGCTGTGTTTGTAAGATGAATGCCAGTGTAATGTCTGGGAGATTATGGTTTGCCTCTATTATTATAGTTAGTTGCTAAGACTGAACGATATTTAAGGTGTAATCACATGACACTGACCATGAGCAAAGGCCAGTATTTAACAAGATACTCATCTCACAGTCATAAAGTGGATGTCTATTTTCATGTATTAAAGTTCAGTTTATTATTTAACTGACAAGTTTATTCGTTGTTTTATTTATTTTCAGACCAACATGGAAATGCCTCCTTTTGTCAGCAATATTTTGTGTTTACACTTAATAGCCATTAGGTGTCACCATTGACGTATGCTTGTATTCTCACAAAGCTAGAAGGCAGGACAAATTTAATTGAGCGTTTTGTGAGAACTAAGGGAATATTAAATGTGTACAATGCTTATTTTTAAGAAGACATTGAAGCATTAGTTGAAAAAGTAACTGAACTGAAAAATAACAATTTTACACAACCACATATTTTGGCCTCAATAACGTCCTGTCACCATTCAATTCTCTGTCCACAGGTTGATGAACCCCGTGAGCATGTTCACAGGTGCAATAGTGGTCACTTCTGTCTTCATTGGCTCTGTGTGGGCAGGGGAGAACAAGGCAATCATTAAAAATTTCAAGAAGGAGAACCCTACCTTGTTTGTTTTCCTGGTGATGGTCGTGAGCTACTTCCTTATGTCACTCTTCGGTGGAGTTATGGTATTCCTGCTTGGAATCAAACTCCCACTTCTGTGTAAGTTTCTTAAGAAATGTATCATTACCATAGATCTATTGTTAGCGAAAATGAAAGGAGGAAAAAAAGTTCATTTCCATTGTTTCATTCAATGGAAATTAGATGGAATGCATTAGGAATTCCTAAGTCTTGAAAAGAAAAAATTCACAACATAGCAGTTTATTAAAAACTGTTATGTCATTTAGAAGTTTTTGACATAGCATCTGGAGGTTTAAAGTGCTCTGTCATTTTTCGTTTCAGTGATTTTTGCACATGCATCGCTTCGCCTACGGAACATGAAAAACAAACTGGAGAATAAGATGGAGAGCGCTGGACTCAAGAAATCACCCATGGGAATCATACTTGAAGCACTGGGTCAACAAGAAGAGAACCTCTATAAAATTCAAGACATTCTGGAGAGCAAACTGAAGGATGATCTCCGTCGATAGTGACTCTGTTTCTCACCAATGCACGAAGGAAATGCTTTCAGCTGGTACAATTTGTGAAATCCACTCCGTTTCTTCCAACATGCATAATTGGCAAAAAGAAAAAGTATTATTTTTCCATCAGTGTTTTTCTGTAAAGGGATCAACAAACTGTATAAAAATAAAATAGTGTTTTATGATGTTTTTGTTTGTCTCATTTCAAATGTAAGGGGGTGCAATTCACCCTTAAGAACCCGGACCAATTTTCCCTTATAGGAAAATTATGGGGCATATAAAACAGACTAAATGGACCACTTAAAACATGTTTCTGCCCTTGTTTTTTAAATACAACCACTCCTTGTCAAAGATCTGTAATGTTACATATACACTCACCGGCCACTTTATTAGGTACCCCATGCTAGTAACGGGTTGGACCCCCTTTTGCCTTCAGAACTGCCTCAATTCTTCGTGGCATAGATTCAACAAGGTGCTGGAAGCATTCCTCAGGGAGTTTGGTCCATATTGACATGATGGCATCACACAGTTGCCGCAGATTTGTCGGCTGCACATCCATGATGCGAATCTCCCGTTCCACCACATCCCAAAGATGCTCTATTGGGTTGAGATCTGGTGACTGTGGAGGCCATTTTAGTACAGTGAACTCATTGTCATGTTCAAGAAACCAATTTGAAATGATTAGAGCTTTGTGACATGGTGGAAGTAGCCATCAGAGGATGGGTACATGGTGGCCATAAAGGGATGGACATGGTCAGAAACAATGCTCAGGTAGGCCGTGGCATTTAAACGATGCCCAATTGGCACTAAGGGGCCTAAAGTGTGCCAGGAAAACATCCCCTACACCATTACACCACCACCACCAGCCTGCACAGTGGTAACAAGGCATGATGGTTCCATGTTCTCATTCTGTTTACGCCAAATTCTGACTCTAACATCTGAATGTCTCAACAGAAATCGAGACTCATCAGACCAGGCAACATTTTTCCAGTCTTCAACTGTTCAATTTTGGTGAGCTCTTGCAAATTGTAGCCTCTTTTTCCTATTTGTAGTGGAGATGAGTGGTACCCGGTGGAGTCTTCTGCTGTTGTAGCCCATCCGCCTCAAGGTTGTGCGTGTTGTGGCTTCACAAATGCTTTGCTGCATACCTCGGTTGTAACGAGTGGTTATTTCAGTCACTGTTGCCCTTCTATCAGCTCGAACCAGTCTGGCCATTCTCCTCTGACCTCTGGCATCAACAAGGCATTTCCGCCCACAGAACTGCCGCTCACTGGATGTTTTTTCTTTTTCGGACCATTCTCTGTAAACCCTAGAGATGGTTGTGCGTGAAAATCCCAGTAGATTAGCAGTTTCTGAAATACTCAGACCAGCCCTTCTGGCACCAACAATCATGCCACGTTCAAAGTCACTCAAATCACCTTTCTTCCCCATACTGATGCTCGGTTTGAACTGCAGGAGATTGTCTTGACCATGTCTACATGCCTAAATGCACGTAGTTGCCGCCATGTGATTGGCTGCTTAGAAATTAAGTGTTAACGAGCAGTTGGACAGGTGTACCTAATAAAGTGGCCGGTGAGTGTATGTCACATTGGGTGTTTATGATACATTTTTTATGTTACATATATGTCACATTGGGCTTTTTGTTCTCATTTGAAAAAAAAAAAAATGTTGTCAATTTTCTTGCTAAATAACAGTTTTTTCTGTTTATTTTCTTTTCCACAACATTTTCAAAATTATAACTTTTCTGGGAAGATAAAAAAAAAAAAAATTTCAGAAGTAATAGTTTTAGCATTTTATTTGCTTTGCCACATCTTTCAAAACCACATAACTCAGACCATAACCGTGACCTTTTCAGGTATACGGTTTAATCAGAAATACATTTTTAGATTATTTTTTCACAACTCGAAAATGTGCAAACTGAATAAAAATAAATAACTACCTCACACTGGAGGTCAACATGTTGAACATGCATGTAGTGCAATAACATTGCAAAATTCTACCTTTTCAGGTATACGGTTTAACCAGAAATAAATTTTTGGAATATTTTTTCACAACTCGAAAATGTGCAAACTGAATAAAAATAAATATGGTGTTTTATACCATATGTTGCATACCTGTTTTAGTTACAGTTATGCAAAATATTTTCAAAATACATTTCAAGGGTAAACCCTAAACCAACTTTTTTTAGTTTATGATCTGTATAACTGGGTCTTTATTATTGCTGTTCATTGATTCAAGTAATTGTTTTGACATTTGGGTATAAAGTGTTTTAATTCTACAATATTTGGTGTAAAAACATCTGAGTGCTGCCCTCTTCAGGTTGAACGGTGGCTACTGCAGTTGAATGTTCCTATTGGACGTTGTGGTGCCCTGTGATGTAAGCAGGCACAAGCTAACCACACCCCTGCCCACAGAGAGACCTGTCTCAGGTGCACCCCTCCCCCCCTCCGCTGGCCTCTGCCCACTTTTACAGCATTTTCAAATATTGCCAGTGGGTGGAGTCAGGCTCTGACCAGGGGTTTAGTTACCCTTTAACAATGTTATTAATTTGACATTTTTTTTGTTTACATATGTTAAAATATGCTTTGAATTGAGCAAAAGAATATATATAACACTAAAATAATTGAATCAGCTAAATTATTTGAGCAGCTCATTACCATTTTTCTTAATGTGACACATACGTCACATCAAAATTCTACCTACTGTTTTAAGGTTAAAAGCCCGATGTGACACATATGTCACCACAACATTTTCAAAACTTGTTTTATATCAATTTGTACAAGACATGTTTTAAAATCAGGTCAAGTGTAATCTAGGATATGTTATTAAAACATTAGAATTGTTGCATGGGTTGAAACATACATTTAAAAACAAAAACAAAAAAAGTGAGGTTTAATGAGGTTTAATGCTTTAAAAAAAAACCTTTCCAGATGATCACCAGTGTTTGTGACACCCAAGTCACAGCGGGTTCTTAAGGGTTCAACTTGTTTTTCAAAGGTTCTTTTTTTCCCTGTAACCTGTTGGGTAAGGTGTCATAAGTGCTTATAGAAAGTGTTGGTATTCTTTTCTTTCAAAATGCTTTCATTCTTACATTAAGAAAATTTAAAGTATTACATAACAAGATGTCATCAGGTTTATAAGATCTAATATCTCCAATTTTCCTGCAGTGTGATGATGATAACTGGAATTAAATGAATAAAAGATTGCATGGTCTGGACTAAAATGAATGGCGACTGAAACGTGCTATAATGAGCTATAATTAATAATAATTTGTTGTTGATGTGAACTTTATTGAAGATTGATGTCTTTTAACATATTACTGTTGCAGATGTGTTGTAAAAACAATAAGCAATTTGAGTTCTGCATTACAATGATTTTACCATAGGAAAATCTTACCGTATTTTTTTTTGTTGTATCATGCTAAGATCGTCCCTTGCATTTGGAAAATTACTGTAATGCACCACCTTTCATAGCTCATTGTTTTGTTGTCACCTATTAGGTAAAATAAGTCATAGTTGAATTTCGTGTGATGCTATACTCCAAAATCTATGCGAAAAGGGTTAATAAAGTCACATTTTGGTACCATGTGTTTTATTTAATGTTTGATTTACATTGAAATCAAATTAATTGCTGTGGTTTGTTTGTTTTAATGCCATGCTAGCTTCTGGCTATTTTCATTTAAAAATGGTAAACTATATCAGGTTTTTAAAATCTATTTTTCTAAAACTATATTTGGTTTGTAAATGTGTAAAAAAAAAAAAAAAAAAAAAAAAAAATGCCTTCCGAAGTGTTAACTGAATAAAAAAGTTTTCTCACAGTATTAAACCCAGCACACTCTAATAAAACATGCTTCAGGGATAAGGACAACAATTTTGAAGAATTTTCTCCTAATAATTTGCTTCCTAAACTTTTGTCATCCTGGAATGGCCTATTTAGCAAAAGGTATAATCCATCTTGTCAAATCGATTTAAAAATGATGAAAACTTTCCCAACATTTGGAAAATGATGTGGTTAAAGATGCACTCAGCAATTGTATTGTTTATGTTGTGCTGATTTCTGAAATGCACGTTTCATCATCAGCCATAATCAATTTGTTCCAAAATTAAAAGTTTTGAAAATAGTGGGGTTACAGTGATGAAGCTGGCAGAGGTGGACAGTAACAAAGTACATTTACTTGAGTACTGTAGTTAAGTACACTTTTTGAGTATCTGTACTTGAGCATTATTTTTTCTGGAAACTTTTTACTTTAACTTCATTTTAAAAGACAAATATCATCCTTTTTACTCCACTACATTTCTGTCAGTGTCCTCGAGTAGAACGTAGTAACATCAGTCAGGGATGATTTTGGTTTGGTTGGAAAGTCGGATTGACGTTAGTTGGAAATGAAAGTCGAGTTTCTGACATCAACCTGATTTTCATTTTCAACGTTGGGTTTGGTCTTCCAAATCCGAATTTTGTCATTGTTTTGGAGCACACTAGCTTATAGATGACAGTAAGGCTAACATATTCATACTAAAAGCCAAAAAACTTTAAGTAGGGCACTATTTGAGGGAACCATTGTGGACATTATTGAGTGCACTTATTCAATCTCACATTTAATCCCACTACTGGAACTGTGTTCTAAAAATAAATTTGATATTGATATGGTAGGCAGGCATTCAGAGGCATGAGTACAACAATAATAAAACAATGCATTGACATTTACTTTTTACTTTTGATACTTAAAGGAGCTGTATGTAGGATTGTGGCCAAAATTGGTACTGCAATCACTTTCAAATTACTGTAGAGCGGTGTATCCCCTCCCCCTCCCCCTCCCCCTCCCCCTCCCCCCTGACTCGAGGTTGCCAGATAGGCTGCAGGATCCAGCAGGAATATAGGCTGCCACAAGGAGCTTTCAACTAGAGCAGAGCTGGCAACCCGGATGCCAAAACACTACTGACTTCGTGATTGGTAGATAGGTGGAGGGTGGGGCTTCAGGCCAAAACACAAGATGACAACATCAACATCAGTTGAGGGCTGCAACTTCACTTTTTAAATGACAATATCGTGGCCGTACTACTGTTGTCAGTGATATAAGTATTTGAAATGGACATGATTTCTTAATGTCTAGAGACACATAAGGGCCATTTTATGATTAATTGAAATACATTTCTTACATACAGCTCCTTTAAGTACTTTTAAAAACTAGTACTTCTGTACTTAAAGGCACACTGTGGAACTTTTCAACCTTTATAATATATTACCAAAACCCATTGAGATGGTACATCGACTTACAATAGGTTGAATGACACGTCTGCCGTAGCCTGAAGGTGTCTGTATCGCTTTTACTAGCACTATGTAACTTCGGGTTTCGGGTAGGAACCCGAGCACAAAAAGAACTACAAAATTCAACCGCTTTACGGCATACGTCACATCCCCCACCACCCACAACTTCCTCAGATTCTGACGTGAGTGCTCAACTCCATAGATATAAACACTCAACTCGCGTTTGATTGCCGTCTGTATGTTTTCGTCATGGCCGAACCAACAGCTACAAGGAAGAAGGCAAAGGTTTTGTCAGAGGACACTAAAAAAAAAAGAAAAAGGCATAGTGACAAATGAAAAGCCAGGACGAGGATCACCAGCGTTCGCTCGCTGGCGTGAGCTACAGGAGGAGGAGGGGTGCCCGACCGATGCTGACGCTTGTCTGCACACAAATGCCGTTTCCAAGGTGACCCAGATCAATCATATAAGTAGTGTAGTATTTTCTGGTATTCCGGCCACAGCCGATGGTGTTATGAGTGTAATAAAATGCCCACAGCCCATTGTTCATTTCTACACACAAACACAGCCCGCCACAGTGCAGGGCTCGCACAAATAAAGTCGACTCATGTCAAATGTAGCAGCTACAATAAATGTAGTGAACGTGCCCACGACTCAGTGCCCACAAACACTACAGACAACATGTCCCACGGTTTCTGTAAAACGAAACCAACACACATAAGTTACAGTCAGCTCAGGCCGACGGGGTTTTTAGTGCAGTAAATGTGCCCGCCGTCCCGCGCCCACGTTCACTCACAGACATGTTAGCACTAATGGTGCGTTCACGTGCTATGGTAATTATGGTAAATACCAAAAGCCGACGTGAAAAATGCACATGAACACCCCCACATGTGGTATTTTCCACTGGGCAACTCGTAGAATATTTTGATGCACGAGTTGCCGAGATGAGATAACCTTTGACCTTTTCAAAATGGCGGAGAGCAACGCGAGAGTCGTGAATGGTAAAAATATGTACTATTCATGATCTAGAAAATATACAGCATATTATTTACCTTTTGAGTTTTGATAAATAATTTTCTTGCTGTAGCAGACGACTTAAGCAATCTAAAATAGTTTTAGCTAAATAACAGGTCTGGATCTCCATCTTTTTACCACATTACGACAACAAAAGCACTTGAACGCAACACACTGGTAAATACCAGTTCACAAGTGGAAAATATCATATTTTCCATAGCACGTGAACGTACCATAAGCCCCACGGGGCTCGCCCCGCTCCCTCTCTCTCAGCAGACTGCTATAAGGGAATCGAGCGCGGCAAGGCTGCCCGCCTCAAACACTGCAAGTACACACAATCTAAAGACACGGGAGGCTGACCCACTGTCTATGGGCTGACCGGTTGACTGTTTGTTGACTTTTGCGACAGTGCTGCGGAGCTTGTGGCCTCTAGGGACGCTAGACGTGAAAGTTACAGGTCGAGCGCATAGACAGTAAAGGGTCGAGCGCCACTAGTGGCCAAAAGTTCCGCGGTGTGCCTTTAAGTAAAAATCGGTCCTTACAACTTTTACTTGTAACGGAGTAATATTTGACCAGTAGTATCTGTACTTTCACTCAAGTAAGGAAGTACTTTGTCCACCTCTGGAAGCCGGTCATGTGATCTCAACACCGCTGGGCCCCATGCAACCTGGTCCATGTAAAATAATCCAGCTTTTATTAGGCTACTGATATGACTGGAGTCTTAATCTCCTTCAAGTGTACATGACCTTAAACATGTTTTACAAAAGCATTTACTTCTTTAAATGTGGAAAAATTTGAAAGAGAAAAGAGTGCACCGAACAATGGATACGACTAAGCAAAGTTTCCCATAACACTTCAACAGCTGACTCTCATTACAGACTCGCAGAATGACTGAACTTGTGGACTTCTAAGAGTGAAGAGTCTTTAAACTGTAAAATATTGACAGGAACTATGACTTTAACGGAATCGTATCCCCACATCTGAATAACCCTCTGTCTTTCTGTTCCTCTCTCTTATTAGATTGCAGGGTGTTTCAGAGCGGCTTGCAACATCTCTGCAAACTTACCTGCAGTAAATCATGCTGGGTTCCTGCTGAATCAGCAACTTCACTTCCATGTGTTTACATTTAAAAACAGACCCAAATCTGAGCTCTTTAAAATGCTGAGCAAAATAGCCAAGAAGGATTTTTCTTTTTTTTCTTTTTTTGCAGCCAGGAAAAGGTTCAGATTTCTTTTTTTCAATAGCAGCAGGGATAAGGTTCAACAGGAGGTTGCAACAAACCTCTTCAATTAAGAGCTTATTAATGTATAATTATAACTAAGGATTTTATTATCTTGAGTGGTTTGTTGTAACTAGGCCCAAGTTTTTCTTCTTGCACCGGGAAAGAGTTTTCTTATCATTTTCCCAGCATTAGCGGTAGAGTTGCTCTCTAGGAGAAAGCAACCTTCAATGGCCGGTTGCTGACAATAAAGCCATTCATAAATGAAATAGCTATAATGGCAATTCATCTGCTCTGTGTATAGACCTTATTCAGAGCAGCGCCACCATTACAGGTGAAAGAGAGGCTGTGAGGGATACCGTGTTTTTAATGGCATCCGCTGTAAAAAGCTGTTTAATTCTCCTTGATCACATAATTTTCCACAGCATGTTGTTTGGAGTTTTTTTGTGTAGCCTACTGAAATTTCTTGGGAAGATATTTTTGCAGTGTTTCATCAGCAGAAGAATCCAAAAACACATTAAATAACAGTTCAACCCACTGAAGAGATTAATCTATCCCTCACAGCCTCACTTTCATTATCGTTAAAAATCAACTATGACACTGGTTTGAATAAAGTCTATTGCTACAGTTGAAGCATTTTCCTCAGTTTGAGCTTCTTTTTACTAAATCTATCATTTACTTATCATCAGTTAGAGTAGATTTGAGCCTGATTTATATATGAGGGTGTCTGAGAGACACCCACGGTGAATCTTTGATGGAACTTTGTCTCTGCGCCTACCCTCCCCCACATCCAAAGGTTAAACATGACCTCATTTCTAATGACCTTCAGGTGTATAAGTTGACCATTGTTGCAAAACTTTACACCACTATGAAATTCCTCTCGTCAGTTCACTGAGGTTTTGGAATAAAAGAGTGCACAAACACAAAACAAAGAGCTCAGAAGATGCAGCAAGTTTAAAGGGTGTAATTGTCAAAAGTAAAAGTGTGTGAAGAACAAAATGTCTTAAATGAAGTGATTTTAGATGAGCAGTTGTGTGGTTATACAGGCTCATTTATACACTGACACTTTGAAAATAAAACACCACTTAGTTATAGTCAGATGACTGTATTGCAACAGTATTTTGTCTATATACTGTGAAGTTGAAGTATGTGCGTAACCACAAACCCACTTGACAACTGGAAGGAGTGTGTGTGCTCATGAAGGACTAATAGATGGCCATTGTTTGCTTGGGTTTGGAGTCAGCTGTGGATGACCTGGCTGATATCTTTGTACAGCTGGTGGCTACAGGAGCAAGGGGAGGTTACAGAAGGGTACAGCTGCAGCATACTTCAGGAGCAGTGTAGGGTGGACGGCCCCGGGACACAGTCCATCAGAACAAAGACCCTGTATCTCTCTCAGAGCCAAGAGCAGCGGCCGATGTGAGGAGAGACAAATTACTTCAAGAGCTGTAGAAAATCAAAAGAAGAAAACAGGAGCTATAATTTTGCGCAAAGAAAATGACTAGAGCCGAGATGTTTTGAATGTGAAAAAAATGTCATTACTGTAATAGTTTTGAAAATCACCCTGCACAAACGAGATGAAATTAGGCATAAACTGAGAACAGCAAATATTGTAAAGACTTTATTATAAAATATTTAATATAAATGTATATGATTACTGATTTATTTTTATATAACTCATTTTCCACTGAAAAAACTACATTTTAGATTGAAATATATTTTGTGAGAATGACAGTGGCTTCGTTTATATATGTACAAGTGAAGGATGAAGGTTAGAGGGCACAAACTAATCGAATTTAATGCATTTTAAATAGTGTTTCTAAGTGCAAACTGAAATGAGTGCATTATGTGTATTTATCAAAGGTGTTGCATAAAAAGCCAGCCAGTCACATGATCTGTTCTTACCTCATTATGTACACAGATGACTGATTGCTTATCTTTAGGGGAGTGGCTCATGTGCTCTTCAAAACATGTTCTTCTGGTTTTACACTCCACGCATGATTGACGCCGAGCTGCTTGTTCTCCTGAGAATAGTAATTCTCTGAAGTGATGGAAAATAAACTGAGTGTGCAGCTGTAATGCAAGTGGTTGTTTTTTCACGAGAACTTTAATTCAACTAAATATTTCAACTACAAAGACAAATTTATAATGAATCACCTGTACTACTACTTGTAAGTTGTTTTTTTTGGGCAGTCTGTAAAAAAATATGTAAACATGTAAATTTTTTGCATTCTTAATAGTCCTTATGGTTGCTTAATGTTAAAAGCTGCAAGCTCAGTCAAGCTCGCAATTTCCTTATTGCATCTCAGCAGGTGGTATTTCCTTGTGAACCCATAAGAAAGTTATATTTACTATTATAAACGCTCATCAAATCATTCATGCTCAAAACTGACAAAAAACAAGGGCAATGCATGTTGGTTTTCTTTTTTAATTCCAATGAATTTTTTTTAGACAAATTACTAAGAACCAGCTTGATAACTCCAAACTATATATTATATGCTTTCAAAACAAAATCTTTCAAAATGATAAAAACAAATCTCTCTAAAAGGTGAAAAATGTATCAAATGTTTGTACAGTATTTACAAATACATATACAGTTCCCTTCTGAAGAGAAAGAGAGACGCAGTGTGCTCGGTCACGGTTTCCAATCTTTCCGAGTGAGCAAAAGTCCATTAGGGTATAAAAGTGCAGTAAATGGTAACAACTATTGTACCGGACTAATTGTTAGTGACAGTATTAAAACAATTATACTCCCATGTAATCATGTTTCAATTATTAGAGCTGTTCCAAACCATTTAACAGTATTAGAAAACTAACTGAATACTTGGCAATGTCTGACGCAAAGTAGAATGTTGACAGGCATGATTTACTAGTACTTGGCATGTGCTAAAACAAATTCTTCTTGTGACTGGTCCAAATGTTAGTTGTGCACTGTTAAAAAACAGCATTGCTGGTTGTGAACCAAATTGAAATAGTACACAGGTGTAAAGCCCAGTACAAAGCCAGAAAAGAATGATTCCTGTTATTGTGAATGCACTTAAACCGAAAGTGATGAGTGAAAATACTGAATGAAAAAGTTGTTGTTGCACCATCACATCGCATTTTGGTTTATGAACATAAAAAACACTGTAAAAGTTTGTCGATAAAAGAGGAGATCAGCAACACTAAAAATCCAAGTGTGAAAAAGCATTGTGGAATATTTTGGTGAGGGTTTTGCACAAGAGAAAAATCTGGTTTCAATCCTTCATATCATTTTTAGCTTGTGCCTGATGAAATATTAAAGTTGCAATATCCTTCAATGTCACAGAGTGTATTGAGGCTTAGACAATGTCCCCAGTTCATTCTGCCCACAGCACCATAAGTTTCCACAGCAGCTGTCTTTTAGGCAAAGTGCTATCCCATAGTTTGTTCACGAAGAGCAATTGTCCTTTCATGTCGTCTAGCAGGATCATCTTCACACGCATGTTTTAAGGCTCTTGTCCGGCAACATTCCTAACTTTGGAATTCATTGCTATTAATAAGCAAATGGGATGAGAACAAGGCACATGAGAGTGAACAGGAAACAGTTTCTCTCAGTCTCTTCTACACTATGGTTCCAGGTTTCGAGTCCTCATGCCAATGCAGCGTCTGCTGGTCTTCAGAGTCAAAACTGCTGTCTATTGGGCTGCTCGTGTGTGAATCGTGGTGGCTCACGTCTATATAGGACCTGCAAATAGAAAAGAGAATAAAATGTTTTAATAATCTACAGGAAATATGGACAATGACTTACAAATACACTGATTTATTGAATATTTTAAACCCCAGTGGAACATACACTGCCCGACAAAAAAATAAAAAAGTCACTGTTTGGATTTAAATAGGCAAATGCTTAAGAGTCTATGATTTGAGTCTATGAACTGTTTGGCAACAGTTTTTCAAACTCTAATTGATGGAGTGTGTAGCTTTTCATTTCTAAACCATGTAAGACACATCATGGCCATATTCCAGCATGACAATGTCAAGATTCATCAGGCTCAAATTGTGAAAGAATGGTTAAGAGGGAGCATGAAGAATCATTTTCACACATGAATTGGCACCTCTGAGTCCAGACCTCAAACTCATTGAAAGACTTTGGGATGTTCTGGAGGAGACTTAACAGAGTGCTGGACTCTTGCATTGTCAATACAAGATCTTGACCAAAATTTGATGCACCTCTTGATGGAAATAACATCACAACATTTATTTCCATCAAGAAGTGCACCAATTTTGGTCCAATCATAGACTCTTAAGCATTTACCTATATAAATCCAAACAGTGACTTTTATTTTGGCCGTGCAGTGTAGTATATAAATACAACACCAGATATACTGAAAACCAGAGTCAGGGTCAATGGTTTTGCAGGAACAATGTTACAAAAATAACTTCTTGTGCAGCTGGTTTTTCAGCATTGTGTGCAAAGGGATTCAGTATATCTAGTCAAGAAACTGGCCTAGTTTCCAAATTGATGATTGTTTTTGATTATTGCATGTCAACGTGTTGAGTAGATTGAGTGAGACACAACATCACTGAACAGTGTTAAAGACTCACACCTGAAGCAGACCATACAAAAGCACACACGTATACTTGTCATAACTTGCACACAGAAATCAAAAACATGAAGCGCAGGGTCACATGCTTCCCCTCAAAATGATAGTTCACCCTTTTTTAGAAGAAAACACACAACCATCCCATCACCAGTGAGTAAGCGGTAGAAAGTGCTGTGGAAAAGACTGTAACCGCAGTCTTGTTAACCCCGAAGTGATTCGCCATTATAGTTAGAGAGGCAAATGCGAGTCCTTCATATCTCACCACTGTTCTACGTGTTGTCTGTCACTAGCAATGAGTGTAAAAGTATTCCGGGTCATAACCACTGGCAACAGCACCAGGCACCTCTAAAGGTACAGGCAATGGGCTTCTCCTGCCCGGAGTCATCCACCCGTACTCGGGTGGGTATCTGTCCATTAGAGGGTCAGGATGCGGAGCCAGCAGATGGGGGTCAGGGCTGGTTTGGGAGGAAGGGTAAGCAGTAGTCAGTCGGACCAAATAGATAAGTGTTCATGTGTGCTCATTACACACAGCAAGAGAGACGACGACTTGATGTATATTGATGCTTAAAGGGAAAGTTCACCCAAAAATAAAAAATTTGGCCATTTACTCACTCTTTATTTTGTTGCAAACACGTATGACTTTCTTTCTGGAACTCATAAATGCCATTTTGTAAAGTGTCTTTAGTCATAACGGACTGAAGCAGGGCCGGCGCTGCATTACCGTATTTTACATTTGTTATTTATGTATGTGTATTTTTATGCCTTAGTGGTTCTCAAACCTGTCCTGGAGGACGCCCATGAGATAATGAGCTGATGAGTTGAATCTAGGGCTGGGCAAAAAAAAATAGATTTCTCGATTAATCGTTTTTTAAAATGTGGTCGATTTAAAATCGATTCTCAACGGCCACGAATCGATTTTTTCCATATCCAGGGCTCGCGGTGCTGCGTCTTCTCACTCTGCACAAGGCAAGCGTCAAGCGCTGCTGGCGTCGATACACACTCGTGTTTAGGAGTCGGGACATAATTCACTTGCACAATCGGGCCAGCAGTGCATCGTAACTAACGTTTATCATTTTCACGTCTTTTTTAAGTTTTACCAGTTTAAACACTCAAGCAATTTTAAACTATCCTGCGCACTCGTGCATGTTTTTCATTGCGTGCACATACAGCCTAAATCCGCCTCACAAACAGCTCGCCAGTAACAAAAGTTCTTTTTCGTGGATTATATCGCTTTAACAGTTAAAAACACGCAAAATGATGTAAAAACTCTGGTCTTGGTGAGTAACCTCGTAAAGACACTCGGTTATGTCTTAAATAAGCATAAAACACGTGTGACAGACAGTATAATGAAACAGTACACTAGTTCTTAAAGTGAACGCAGCCATATGTGTCTGTCATTAATTTTGTTGTCAAAACAACATCATATAGCATTAATTGTAAGGAATCAGAATTAATAGCCTATGTATTTAATTCAGTCAGGACTAAAAGACTATCCAGTGTTATTTTAAATTGGATTACTTTATTCAGTTTCTGTAGTATTTCTGACCTACCCAAAAAACTTTTCTTTTTCTATTGTATTTATTTGTGCTACTTTTTTCAATTTAATTCAAAGATTGAAAACAAGCTTCCATGTGTTGCATAAACTCTTAACAAAAAAAAATTACCCCATTGTAAAAACGAACATTTAGGTGAGATCAATGTAATAAAAAATTGTCTAAAAAATTATAACTGATATTTAGACTGAGATTTGTATTACATCTATATTCATTATAGTCGAATCGAGAATCAAATCGAACTGTGAGCTAGTGAATCGAAATCGAATCGAATTTGAACATCTGAATCAATACCCAGCCCTAGTTGAATCAGGTGTGTTTGATTAGGGAGACAAAGAAAACGTGCAGTGTTGGGGGTCCTCCAGGACAGGTTTGAGAACCACAGCCTTAAACACTTAAACATTTGGTTTTAATGTGCAATTTACGTGAACTAGATAAAATTATTGGATAATTTGCCAGCAAAATTGTTTAAGTTAATGGCCATCTCAGAGTTTCCTGTGTAATTATTATACCAGCTATTATTGCTTTCTTTATAAAGAAAATTTAACATTTGACATATTAAATTAGTTTCTTATGTATACAGGTCCTTCTAAAAAAATTAGCATATTGTGATAAAGTTCATTATTTTCCATAATGTAATGATAAAAATTAAACTTTCATATATTTTAGATTCATTGCACACCAACTGAAATATTTCAGGTCTTTTATTGTTTTAATACTGATGATTTTGGCATACAGCTTATGAAAACCCAAAATTCCTGTCTCAAAAAATTAGCATATCATGAAAAGGGTCTCTAAACGAGCTATTAACCTAATCATCTGAATCAACTAATTAACTCTAAACACCTGCAAAAGATTCCTGAGGCTTTTAAAAACTCCCAGCCTGTTTCATTACTCAAAACCACAATCATGGGTAAGACTGCCGACCTGACTGCTGTCCAGAAGGCCATCATTGACACCCTCAAGCAAGAGGGTAAGACAGAAAGAAATTTCTGAACAAATAGGCTGTTCCCAGAGTGCTGTATCAAGGCACCTCAGTGGGAAGTATGTGGGAAGGAAAAAGTGTGGCAAAAAACGCTGCACAACGAGAAGAGGTGACCGGACCCTGAGGAAGATTGTGGAAAAGGACCGATTCCAGACCTTGGGGGACCTGCGGAAGCAGTGGACTGAGTCTGGAGTAGAAACATCCAGAGCCACCGTGCACAGGCGTGTGCAGGAAATGGGCTACAGGTGCCGCATTCCCCAGGTCAAGCCACTTTTGAACCAGAAACAGCGGCAGAAGCGCCTGACCTGGGCTACAGAGAAGCAGCACTGGACTGTTGCTCAGTTTTGCATGTCATTCGGAAATCAAGGTGCCAGAGTCTGGAGGAAGACTGGGGAGAAGGAAATGCCAAAATGCCTGAAGTCCAGTGTCAAGAACCCACAGTCAGTGATGGTCTGGGGTGCCATGTCAGCTGCTGGTGTTGGTGCACTGTGTTTTATCAAGGGCAGGGTCAATGCAGCTAGCTATCAGGAGATTTGGGAGCACTTCGTGCTTCCATCTGCTGAAAAGCTTTATGGAGATGAAGATTTCATTTTTCAGCACGACCTGGCACCTGCTCATAGTGCCAAAACCACTGGTAAATGGTTTACTGACCATGGTATTACTGTGCTCAATTGGCCTGCCAACTCTCCTGACCTGAACCCCATAGAGAATCTGTGGGATATTGTGAAGAGAAAGTTGAGAGACGCAAGACCCAACACTCTGGATGAGCTTAAGGCCGCTATCGAAGCATCCTGGGCCTCCATAACACCTCAGCAGTGCCACAGGCTGATTGCCTCCATGCCAGGCCGCATTGAAGCAGTCATTATTGCAAAAGGATTCCCGACCAAGTATTGACTATTGAGTGCATAACTGAAGATAATTATTTGAAGGTTGACTTTTTTTTTGTATTAAAAACACTTCTTTTATTGGTCGGATGAAATATGCTAATTTTTTTAGACAGGAATTTTGGGTTTTCATGAGCTGTATGCCAAAATCATCAGTATTAAAACAATAAAAGACCTGAAATATTTCAGTTGCTGTGCAATGAATCTAAAATACATGAAAGTTTAATTTTTATCATTACATTATGGAAAAAAAGTTCACAATATGCTAATTTTTTGAGAAGGACCTGTATATATAAAAATTGATAAATGTAGAGTAATATACAATTCTAACTTATGTTTTTACACTACCATTCAAAAGTTCGGGATCAGTAAGACTTTTTAAAAGTTTTTTAAAGAAGTCTCTTATGCTCACCAAGGGTCCATTTATTTGATCTAAATACAGTAAAACAGAGATATTGTGAAATATTAACATTTAAAACAAGTGTTTTCTATTTGAATATATAAAAAATATATTTATTCATGTGATGGCAAAACTTAATTTTCAGCATCATTACTCCAGTCTTCAGTGTCACATGATACTTTAGAAATCATACTGATATGCAGATTTGGTGTTCAAGAAACTGTATCAATGCTGAAAACAGTTGCTTAATATTTTTGTGGAAACAGTGATCAATTATTTCAGGATTCTTTGATGAATAGAAAAGAACAGCATTTATTTGAAATAGAAATCTTTTGTAACATAAGTGTCTTTACTGGCACACTTTTGATCAATTGATTGCGTCCTTGATGAATAAAAGCAAAAATTTCTTTTAAAAAAAACCTCCAAACTTCTAAATGGTAGATTATGTGTTGGGGCCAGTGAAAACATGGTCACCCTAATAGGTCAGCAGAAAAGAAAACCCTTAATGTTCCAGCTTGTGAAGAATACTGTGACTTCAAAAGACACAGAATATAATGCACAAGTCGTATGGATACAAATAGACGCTCCATTATGAAAACAAGCACTCTGGTTATTCTATTTGCATATTTATGGAAGAGAGAAACTTATACAAGTTTGGAAAGACATGAGGCAAAGGGTGAGTAGTACACAAGTGTGAACTACTCCTTTAAAAGTTGTTTGGAGGAAACACAAGCACATTTGAAAGAAAGCCATGCAGTCATATTTTTACAACACACAACAAGCCAGACATCCTGAGACGCTGACTAAACACCAATCACGCTGAGTACAGACAGAGCAACCCCACACGGCTGGCGCTTTACTTACTATCAAGGGCTACATTTAGCAAATGAAGCTTTATTAACCCTTGCATGTCTTGCACCACCAGATTGAGGCGGGGACAAACCCATCTGCTTCATCTGATAGCAAGAGGAGGATGGAGGAAGAGGAGGAGGAGGAGGGAGTGAGGAAGAACAAGCTTGGGAGAAATGAGGAGGACAGTACTGAGGGCTGGCAGGGTAGTGCCAAGCACGTTTAGGGTGTGAGCTGGAGTCATGTCTGTGAGGGAAAGAACGGTCATAGGGAGAACAAAGCGTGAGAGCAGATACCGCACCAGCACTCCTGCAGAACTAACCAGATGCATTGTGTCAGGCAAGCTGTTAGCTTGAACATGCCCTAATGAACTGTAGCATATCAGCTAGATAGTGGACACTATGGCAAACATCAAGAAGAAGAAAAAATACATTATTCAAACTAGCATTTTCTTTGAAAGTGTAAATATCTAGGTGGTTGCTAGACCATTTCAAGGTGTTTTATAGGATGTGCTTACTGGCCAAGTCAAAAGAGCCCACTATGAGCTTGGGACCCTCATTTAAAATGGGTCTTAAGGGATTTTTATTGTGCAGCGCTTTAGAATCACCAAGCATGCCATTTTGGTTAAGACGGTTCAGATAAAGGCTAATGAGCTAATCAGTAAAGGACGATGGTGTACAGAAGAGTCATACCTGCTGTGTAACTGGTGGCTGTGATGGACAGTGTTGTAGCCGTAGGGGTGATGGTGTGTGAGAGGCATTTCATAATCTGACATTGCCATGACTGGTCGACTGTGCCAGTTTCCCGAACTAACTGCGATTACATGAAGATGAAAGGAAATTAATAAAGGAGAACCTCACGTAGATAACATTGCTGTTCAAGAGAGAAGAAAATGACTCTGCATTCAAGTCAACCAAAACACCCAATGTTTTAGACTAGCTAGGCTGATTAAATTGCCAAGTGGGCATTTCGGTCAAATATCGGCTGATTAAAAAAAAGAGATGCCCATTAAGACAGCTTCAAATCTACCAATAGCTTTTTTTGTAATAAAAATATTAAAAACAGAAAATGTTTACTATCTATGCAAATACGTAAAACACGTGTTCATTTAATTAAAGCAATTTTGTGAAAGCCTCATTTGCCATCAACAATTGAATAATTGTGCGTTCACTAAATATTGGCATCTATATTTGAAAATAAATGTTGATATAAATATTTAAAATATCAGAAGGACATTTGAGGGATAATCATTTATAATTATTTTGATTTAAATAAAATCCTTCCGTCTAAACAGTAAGAGAAAATTGCATTACATTACTGATAAATTGTGCTCAATTGCCCTGACAATAAGGTCACAATGAAAACCACCAAATGGTCCTAGAATTGGCTTCTTTTGTCTTATGCATAATTCTTTTCATGTTGGTGTAAAATGTTTTCGAGAGATTCACCAATTTAAGACGCCCGTTGAAGCCCAGGAGTATTTGTAACATGAGGAAACAGGAGGTGTTTTTATGCAACACTTCTCACCTGTTGAGTAGGAAGCTGTACTGTCACTGCGTACATAACTTGATGACATGGTCCTGTAGCCGAGGTTTTGCTGTGGCCCCCTGTAGGTATCATACCCTGGTTGTTTGTTCTGTCGGCTGTACCATCCACGCAAGTGTTCCACCACTTCAGCCCTTTGCATGCTTCTGGCAAAATTCTCATTTCTGGATGGAGGACGGTTCCTTGGTGGCCTTAACGTGGCATAAAGGTTATGAGCCAAACCGTCTATCTCATCATGGCCGTAGTTCCCATGAGGGTCATGTCTGGGGTAGGAGGGGTTAACATTATAGTGTCCCTCCATCTCAGTCTCATACATATACGGTCCATTTGGATACACTTCAGGTTCCATGTACCGCGGATATCCAGTGACGTAATAGGCTGTGGTGGTTGGCTGTTGCCGAGGCTGGGATGTATAACCACGTGTGTCATTCTGTGCTAGGTTAGGCATGCTTCCTGTGTTGGCGTATATGTTGCCCTGCCTCCTCCGATGTCGGTTTTTGGCACGGGAATGGCAGCCGGGTGCAGAGTACTCCACGCTGGACTGGCTGGTGTAGGAGGAGCCATCGTCAAGAATTTCAGTGCTGTTGCTACGACGAGGAGAAGAGATAGTGAAGACAGGCTCGGATGGTTCGCTTTCCGTAAGGAACTGGGACTGAGATTCCAGACTGCCACTGCGCTGCCGATAATGAGTGCTTCATGCAGGAAGAAGCAAAATAATTCATGAAAACAATACCGAAATCATAACTAAAAATTATTTTAAAAGACTAAAAAAAACATTTCTTCTCTGCTTTTCTCCTCTTCTCTAGTTTGCTTCCTAATCAAGTTGTTTAATAAATCTGGCATTTTATATTACAAATAATTTTGAATAAAAGTGTCTGCTAAATGCATAAAGGTAAATGTAATAAAATAAAAAGAAAATATAATTTAAATAAAACAATTGTATTTACTGGAGACGCTAGTACATTAAAGGGATAGTTCACCCCAAAATTAAAATTCTGTCATCACTTACTCACCCTCATGTTGTTCCAAACCTGTATGAGTTTCTTTGTTCTGTTGAACGCAAAAGAAGATATTTTAAAGAATGTTGGTAATCAAACAGTTGACTGTAGCCATTGTCAATGGGTGCCATCAACTGTCTGGTTACCAACATTCTTTAAAATCTCTTCTTTTGTGTTCAACAGAACAAAGAAACTCATATAGGTTTGGAACAACATGAGGGTGAGTAAGTGATGACAAAATTGATGGGTGAACTAACTCTTTAATAAGACCGAATAATGTTTCACACTGGTTTGTGGCAATTTTGCAGTACACAAACACTTGTCACATTTCCGGGTTTCTCAGAAGCGGAAGTTGTCCTAGTTGGGTGAACTTCTATAGCGGTAAATGAGAGACTACATTAAATTTTTTTGTGTGTGTGTGTTCCCATTTGCTCAAATAGCAAAAGAAAAAGTAGTGGTTTCACAACTTTCAAAAAGAGAGGGAAAAAATAGAGAGACTGATAATGGCAGTCAGAAGAAACATGTAATTTTTACAGTCACTCCCATAGCTGCTGAATTAGAAAAACCCTCAAAGCAGCATTAACTAGTTTCTTTTCATTTGATGCAAAGGTAATATAATACCAAAGTATGGTGTTATAAATGTACATACATAAAAAAAAAGGGAAAGAAAAGAAAATATATATTGAAAAAACTTTGCATGATTTACGATGTTGACGACCGTTAAAACGCATCATCACATTCTGTGAAAAGGGTCCATTAATTATTTTAGAACAGAGCAAAACAAAACAAATTCACAGCTTTTTAAGATCTACACATTTCCATTACTTTTCCAAGCCTGGAAATCCCTGACATTTACAGAGTAAGGAACAAAGACAGTGTTCCTACGATCATGGAACGTCTTTAGTGCTTAACAATCGTCATTCAGGGGGCATGTTAGTGGGAGGGTGATGAAGAAGGGTTGATTGTGTACTGTACCTGAGCTGGATGCTGCTGTAGGCGTTGCGGGGAAGCTGCGGGGTGGGGGGCATGCTCCGCGAGTCTGAGGGTTGTCGTGAGGGTTGATGGTAGGGGCTGTGTGTTGATAAGGTGTCTCCCTGTATATAGGTCACAGGTTCTTGGACTTCGCCATAATTTAATCTAGAACACAGATAAGAACAACACTTTACCAAACCTTCCTTCATGGGTGGAGTTCTTACCGCATACAAAGCCTCCAAGGAAGTAAAGAAAAACTTTTCACCCTATACCACCCTTGTACCTAGTTAGATCTAATACAAAAGCTCAATGGTTCTTGAGGAACAAATGATTAAATAAGAAAGGACTGAATTACGTCTCATTTTACGGGCAGACTTCAGCCGTTTGGTCTCATTGAACTTCCACCTCACTGGCTCATTATATTAATGCCCGTTGTCCCTGTGAGATTTTCCACAGCAGCTTTCCTGTGTGCTTATGGCCTTTCCGCCCCCACTTTGCGATTATTGCTAGAGTTTTTGCAGTCAAGCAGTGACATGCTTATTCCTGGGGCACTATTTTTAACACTGTGAGTGTTTAGGCTGATAAGAGGAGACTGTGAAGGAAGAAATCGAGGCAAGGGAAGACTGGAATGCAGGGCTGATTCCTTGATCACAGGTCTCTACTAGCTCAACTGGCCCAAAAGTAAACAACAGCCAGAGGCAGGGAAAGGTAAGAAGTGCATAAGATTAATCCAAAAGAGCTGTGGTTGGTGGGCCTCTCACCTGCTATAGTTCTGGTGGTCGTCACTTCCGTGCTCCGAATTGTATGATGCAGTGAAGGAGTTTGACGAGTTAGGACGTGGAGAATACTGTACTGAACGTGAACGTTGTCTCTGCGATGGCTCATCTAAGACAAAACAAGTTAATAAGATGAAGAGAGTCTAGCCCACCGAGTCTAGCCTACAGCAATAAGTGCTTACAGGCATTTATAAACTACTGTTCAAAAGTTTGGGGTCAATAAGATTTTTTCAAAAGAAAATAATACTTTTATTCAGTTTTATTGACAAAAAAGTAAAGACATTTATATTACAAAATATTTATTTTTCAAATAAATGCTGTTCTTTTGAACTTTCTATTCATCAAAGAATACTGATTTAAAAAAAAAAAAAAAGTTTCCACAAAAATATTAGGCAGCACATCTGTTTTAACATTGATGACAACAAGAAATATACCTTGAGCACCAAATCAGCATATTAGAATGATTTCTGAATGATTATGTGACATTAAAGACTGGAGTAATGACTGCTGAAAAATGCTTTTTGCCATGCAGCCTTGGTGAGCATAAGAAAAAAAAACAACCCCAAAATTTTGAACGGTCGTGTACCTGAATTCAACACCAACAGTACTCACCATCTTCCAAATTTAGGCAGTCAGAAAGGCTGTCAAGGTTCACATCATCTGCAAAAACAATTAAGATTATAATTAATATTTCCTTGCCGCCATGATCCATTACTACAACTAGCCTAAAACATTAGCTCATCACAAGTAAAGCATAAAACTGTCAACAGAGTGCAGTTTACAAACGCAGTATAAGCATGCATGTTTTCAGTGTCCCACATATTTTGACCAATACATTTATATAATCATGAGTAATCGTTAAACCAGATATGCACCAGCAATGATGACAGAAGCTCTTTGTGTGGGCTCCTTGCCAATCTTCACTCTGTAACCATTAATCTCATTTTCAATCTCCTGAAGTTTTTTGGTAGCATCCAGAAGGTTTCTCCTGCGTTTCTTCTTCACAGTTTTACAGAGCTCATTTTCATAGGCAAGTTTTTTCGCTGCCTCCACAATCTTCTTCTGGAGCGCAAAGCAGCCCTCCATGTTTCTTAAAAGAGGGTCCTGCAAGGGGGAAAAAACCCATTCATTTTGCATAGAAGAACACAAAATGCGAGGAGTTCTTGCAGCATTTCTGAGAAGAACAAATGAGACAACCTACCGCATCATAAGGGAAAAGATCATCCAATTTGAAAGCAGTTCCCATGCGCCTTCGAACAGTGGGGGGCTTCTCTCCTGATGCCAAAGGATACTCCTTGGGTAACACACCGGTAAGTTCCTGGTCAAAGAAAAATAAAAAGCAAAAGAAAAATCTTAAAATAGGCCGGTTTAAACGGACAAACTTAAAAGACTGTATGGATATATGACAAGCCACTAACAGCTTCCCGGAGGCAGATTCTCTTTAGCTCTTCTTCCTTTAGTGCCAGAATTTCATTTAAGCTCTTCTGTTTGTTCTTCAGTTCTGCAATCTTCTCTTTCTTCTGTTCCTCATTCACATCATTGTCGGCAGAATCTAAAATGAAAGAAAAAGCAAGCTCAATCATGATATCAGTTCGAACGACAAAGTTCATTAGGCTGTTCTTGGAATAAATGAAAGAGGTTGTCTTACTGGAAGAGACCAAACTTCCATTGCTGGCCATGATGAGCTTGTCTTTACTCTCCATGCTGACCAGCTTACTGTTCCTTGGAGCTCCAGTCTCTGAGAGATCCATGGCAATATCACCCAAACTTCTTGCTGTAGTTATTTTAGCCTTTAGGTTAAAAAAAGAAGAAGAAGCGGTTATGACATCATCTCAATTACTTTTGCATGATATCAGCGCAGAGACAAAGCAATGATTTGTGCATTTCTGAATTTATGAGTATTAAGTATTATAGATGCACTAATGCTAATGCATACTCACTTTACTCTGTTTGCGGTCCAGGTAGAACTGGTGTTGGCTGATTGCCATTACCCAGATGGTTTTGATCAGAGAGTGGCTGGCATACCACGTGTGGATGACCTGACCAGACTGACCAAATGTGCGTCTAGAAGCTGTTCTTCTATGGATTAACACATGTGCACATTGAAGTCAACCATAAATACATTCCTCATCCTATTTAGTGTCAATGAGAAAGTTAGTTTCTGTAACGGATATTTTTTGCATTTCATTCAAAGATAAATACTATATGCTTAAAAAAAGGTTGATTTAGTCAAACTAAATAGTTCTTAAATGGATAAAACCAATAAAATTCAACGTTACTACATAAAGCAGTTTATTGGGTTACCTGATATTTTATACCAATTGACAATAAGGCAGGTTGGTGACACTAGTACGGTAACAATGTACAGTGGTGATATCATCTTTGTTTACAGAGCAACCCCAGCCTGTATTACTACTACAGCGTAAAGTGACCCGATTGCTTCACTGCTTCAGTTCAGCGTTGGAAACCCATCAGCTACGTCAAAAAGGCTTTGCATCACTAACATTTACTTAGTCAGTCTATTCAAAGGCCATGTCTTACAGTCTAATAGCGTAAAAATAATGCTGAACGTTTTACAGTAAAAACTAATCAAAAACTGTGCTCATTGAGTGCTTCCGTCTATCTCATTCTGGTTTGTGTCAGGCTCGACCTAGTGTATATTTGTCTCATTTTCTCACCTCTGAGGGTCGTTGACCTCTACGGCAAACTTCTTCTCACGGAAATACAAGTTTTCAAGCTGTTTCCACAGAAAGAGCTACAGAGAAAAAGGAAATGAGATTTAGACAAGAACTATATTCGGAACACAGGAAAAAAAAAAAAGCATTTATTTTCATTGAGCATTCATTTCTATGATTTGCATATTTCTTTGTGAGATTCATCAAGAACTTTTACATCCTTGTATTTATTTCAGCTATTTTTTTCTTTGCTTTCTCTGTCAAATCAGGAAACATGCATTATTAATTCCTAGAAACAATATATGCTGAATTCGCTCACAAAACCAATGACTAGATCATATGGATATTGATATATTTAGCTGGAAGCACGAGACAATTGCTTCAGGTATAAAGCCAATACAATCTAAGCACGACAGAAGCAAAGCGTCCACTGAGCTTGTACCTCAATTTTGCCCTAAAGGGAGAGCACTGAAAAACAGGTCTGTGGTAAAAACATGGCCAAAACAACTGCCATTCATGTGAACTATCCTTTCAGAGCTTTTTTCTAGAGCTCCGTCATAGCTTTTCCCAGCTTAGGGCAGGGAAAGTACAATATCCAAATACTATCAGCATGCGGGGGTGAGGATTTACTAGGAATGTTAATAAATGCTCCCTACCAGGTACTGCTCCAATGCACCTCTGCTCTGAGTAATATGCATAGAAACAATACGATCCGAACATGGATCGTACAATAGATTTGACTGCTAAGAGCATATTAAAACTTAACACATTTCTGACAGTCATGTCTAATAACAACAAAACTAATAATGACAACTTATTCTAATTTCAAAGAACTTAAAATGGACCTTACCAGATCAGTTAGTAAGCCAGTAAAATCCTTTGATAGTTGGAAAGGTTTAGTATAGTCCTGATCTAAAGTTTCCCACAGGGTTGTGGCTTCCTTGAACAATACTCGCTTGTCTGCTTTCAAAGAGACCAAAAGGTGTTGCAAGAGTTTCAGAAAAGTGAGCCCCGCCTCTTCCCTCCCCCTTTCTGTGACATCACTAGCACCTCACTTTGCTCTTACTCACCTTAAGCAGGACTTCTCTTTAAGTACAAGTACTACTCTCTGTTTCCGCCTGCCAACTATGCCATCATCTCTCTGAAACTCTAACTCACACATGTAATTAAACCTCCGCAACTTCATTCTTTCTTTACAGTCACCTCCCTCTTACTCTGATACTCGCTTCCTGTCCTTGTCAAACTAGACAAACAGGTTACTCTCACTGAAATACACACACATAGACATAGGCATTCCTTTTGTTTCATTTTGGGAGGGGATTTAGAGCATTGATCATAATGTACACCCTTCAATAGCTATTCATTAATCTGTGTTCCTTTTCCTGATGGGTCTCATTTTTACAGTCTGAATCTTAATCCATCACCTGTTGGTTTGGATGCTTGCTCCCTTACGCTTCCCAAGGCAAATATGCGAGGAATCTACAACTTTCTTGTAATCATTAATGGCTGGCCATGGCACTCTTCACCTCCTGGTGAAAACAGCATGCCTCTCTCACAGTGACTAAATAGCCCAAAGCGACAGCAACAGGGAATGTCTCACTATCTGACAACATGAAAGTTCCCTGACCTTTCTCTGACATTTAAAACAAATAACTAAAAGTATATACTTCTTATGTCGATGTCGAAAGGTGGAACTGATTACTTAAAATAAGCAGTATAAACACACACCAGACCCAAAATATTTTTTTTAAGTCATAGTTTTTTTTTATTACAAAAACATGTGATAAACCATTATAATGTATTTTTTGTGACAGAAATACTAAGTGCAAAATCAGCTAATTTAAAACTAGGACTGGGTAAGAGAAAACTATTGTTAATACATGAACAGCAGTCATTTAGAATGCTGAGTGAGATAAGCCATTTCAGCATAATTCTTTTAGCCAATTAAATAAGAGATAACTAGATAAAGTCTGAAGGAAAATGAGAGCATGCAAATGGAAAGACAATGGGAACAATCCTCAACACCTCAGACTGTCTGTGACTGATAAAGCAAGACAGGCAGGCACATCTAGGAAGTCTGCAGAAGTTAACAACTAAAATACATTTGAAATTACGTTCAATTTACAAAAAATAAAATAAAAAATGAATTAAATAAATAATTTAAAAAATGAACATGTAAAATGGAAATAAACTAAAATACAATTTTTTTTAAAGGAAAATAATTTTTAAAAGCTTATTTTATTTGTTAACTTGCAGACCCAAACCCTACAGATGATGTATTTTAAAGTATCACTGATCTTGATGTAAATGTAACACGTGTTACCAATTAGCACCAGAGATTTTTTTAGCACCAGTATCGAAAACTGTGGATTCAAATCAGCACTACAAGCATCTAAAAACAGGCTCATGCATCTGGATGTGTGAAAATATTATTCTATAATCCTACACACCTTAAACTCTTTCATGTCACTGGGATAATGATGATGCAGTGCAGAAATATGTTGTGAATATTACACACCCTCATGATGCATCACTAGATCTTCAAAATAAGCTGTGTTCACAGTAGTGAAATGCAGTTATCAGTCCTTTTTTGGAGTGGTAAATACATTTAAAAAAACCTCTTATGCATGAGCTGGACGTAAAAGAAAAAAGAAAAAAAAAGTTGTCAATCTCAAAAACCCTGACTATGTGAACCTGGCCATGAAACATCAAACATTACACAAGAGCACAGATTTATGTGTAAAAAAAAAAAAAAAAAAAAAAAAAACTAACTCTTCAGACAGTAAAGGAACAAATTATTTTAAATATAACAAAGAAGCCACACCAGACACCACCAATACACATGATCCACCATAAACTCATGTATGAAATGCTGTTTCTTTCAAGGCACGTTGCAACCAAAAACTATACATTGTCTTAAAATCTCTGATGTGTCTATGATTTGTTATCACCATATTTACAGACAATCCAGATGGAATCGTCAGCTCTGAATTATGACTCAAATATATTCTGCATCCTCCTCTCTCAGACAAGATACACTCACACACACACACAATCCCTATGGAGGTAACCACAAATAAATAGTAAACTGTTTAGAAAGAAATATGAGCGAGCGGCGCTTGCCTTGCCTGAGCAAAACTCGCCACCTTAACACTAGGGTGTTTTGGGTTGTTGTCAGGTTTTTACTTTTCAGGTAATACTTTATTAATTTGCTTTAAATTAGCAAACAACAGGTTATCTTTATAATAATAATAATCACATTTGCTACTTTTATATTTTAGAAAGGGAATCCCTTGCAAGGGGATCATCACATTTTGGCATCAAAAAGATTGAAAAATACTGCATTAGAGGATGTCCCAGTGAAATAATATACAAGAGCAGAGCATTCAGAGTAAACAACCAAAATTAAAAAAATTATTAACCAACATCTGCCAAGCAATATGTCAAGATCTACAGAAATGTTCCTATTAAAATTGGGATGAAACTGGGGACAGACTAATGACTAGAGTCTTTCATAGGGCATCAGTTCAGAGCCCGGGAAAGTTCAGACAAAAAGTTTCAGAGCTTCTTTTAATACTGAAGACTCCCAATAGCTCTTGCTTGTGGAGGAGTTACAGCCGCGAGACCCCTCGCTCTCCTTTATGGCCCCCTGCTAGGCTAATTGTGTTTTATTGCTTGATCAATTGTCTGGCCTGAGTGAAATGCACAATGGCGGTCAGATTTGCATAATGAGCTCGGCGTGCTGGAAGAAGATTGGGGGGCGGGCGGACACAAAAACTGCCCTCTTGGCAGGAAGCACAATCAATACTAGCCAGATGATGGGTTGCACTCTGACAGGGCCTAGTGTACTTTCAAAAAGAGACAGTTAAAACGCTCAGTCGAGTGGGAAAAGACACACAAAAAGGAGAGGGAGGGAACACCAAATGTGTTACCTTTTTTTTGGTCAGAATTTTACCTTGTAAAAATGTGATTTTTTTTAGCATATATGTAAATATATCAAAGTATCCTGGTAATACTATATGATAGATTCACTGTACCATGGTACCACCACATCTTTCTGTTAAGACAAAATGAGAAATAGAAAGGATTTCTATGTTTACTCTCTCTCTAACCCTCCAGTAGCAGTCTTAGTTTTTCCAGGAGAAGAGCTGATTGGGGTTCTGTCAATGGAGGCAATCCCCCTTCAGACATCCCATTGCTGGCATTGCTCCAGTTCCTGCTCCCCATGAAGCTCCATAATTACACCCTCCACAGGGAGGGGCTGGTGTTCATTGCAGCCATGCAGCAGGGTTACAGAGTGGGACATGCCCATTAACTCTCTGGCATAGGACTGAATATACATTCACACCCAGCTGTATCCTACAAAGCATTGGTGTAATGGATGCCAATTAACAGACACTTTAATGAGTGAGGTTGGGGTGAAATATAGAAGTCCTCCTCATAAAAAAAAGAGCAATGGTTGCTAATCTCTCATATCCTTGAAATGTGATAAAAATGTGGTAAATGAGAATGTTCATTAAAAATGCCAATGAACACAAAATTAGAGCTAAGAGATATCTCAATAGGACATTTTTGGGAAAAACATATTGCACACAGAAATCGGATTGGCTGACTTGGCACAACCTCTGGGATTTGGGGCGCACCAATCCACTTGGAAAAAAAGTTGGGTTAACAAGGTACTGGGTTAATACCATTACCGCTTCTAAGGATGAACTAAGCACTAGATTTGCCAGCTTAATGGCATTGAAATCTGGAAGTTATTTAGCATTTTTTAGGCACTTGGTAGCAAGCAAACTAGAGTAGATGTCCACAGGCAGAATTGTACACTACCGTTTTAAGGTTTGGGGTCAGTGAGATTTTTTTAAATGTTTTTTGAAAGAAGTCTCAAAATGCTCACTAAGGCTCCATTTATTTGATCAGATATTCAGTAAAACAGTAATATTGTGAAATATACTATTTAAAACAACCGTTTTAATATATAAACTACCGTATTCCTGTAATGGCAAAGCTGAATTCAACAGTCATTACTTCAGTGTCACATGACCCTTTAGAAATATTCTGAAGGAATATACAGGGAGGAGGAGGGAGGGGGGCAATTATTTTTATTTTGCCTATGTCACAATAAGAGGTAAATCTGGCCTTGGTGGTGTAAGCATTCAAGGTGACCTATTATGCCCATTTTTAAGATATGTAAATAAGTCTCTGATGTCCCCGGAGTGTGTATGTCAAGTTTTAGCTCAAAATACCCCACAGATAAAAAATGTTAGCATGTTAAAATTGCCACTTCTTGGGGGTGAGCAAAAATGCGCCGTTCTGGTTTGTATCCCTTTAAATGCAAATGAGCTGCTGCTCCCGGCCCCCTTTCAAGAACAAGGCTGAGCTTCAAGAGCTCCATGGCAACAAAACAGGACAATCTCACACATTGAAGAAGTCAGAAACTGTCAGCAGTGTTAAGTTGCGTTGGATTTTCTCCTCAGAGTAAAGGTTAAGAGGCCCATCTGTCACTGTTTTCCATGTTCGTAGAGTTAGTTTCTGGAGTAAATATATAGGCTATAATCTGTGTGTTTACACAGCATTTTTAAAAATGGCGGGTGCTGGTGTTTCGCGTGCGTTCAGCCAATCAGCGTATACTAACATCACGGATAGTTCCTATAGTGCTGATTTAGACCCTACTCTGAAGTAGGAACGAAATTAGTTTCTCCAAAACTCGCCAAAAACTGCAAAAGCTCCTTATGGAGACTCTTATGTACATCATCAAACAACAGAACGTAATGTTTTTTGGCACAGACATTGTATATCCCCAGCTGCTACAGCGAGTAAACAGAAATGGTGGACTGCTGCGGCTCACTCAGGGCGGATCTATGCTAATAGGGCAGATCGTCACCAGTCATGGGAGGAGTTTCCCTACTCTTACATAACAACGGGGAAATCTAAAACCAATTTGGAGAGATTGTTAATCATTTAGGTAAAGGTACCGTGAATTTTAATTAGTAGCTATATGAAGAATTATTATAAATGCCCGGGGTTTGTGATGTTTTTGTGATGTTTTTCTGTTTTATAAAAATTTGTATGTTTGTGAGGTTGAAGCTACTTAAATTGCCCTGTAAAGGGACAAATAAAGATTTTACTACTACTTTATGGAGATTATAAAAAAGGTATTGGGTGGATTTTTATAATTATATTCTTGTTGTTTACACACATCTGTGTTCAAACACCTTATAAAAATTAATTTAGCATAATAGGTCCTAGGGGTGGCACAGTACATGAAAAAACACCCGAACCGTTCGGTTCGCTTGTCTCGGTTCGGAGCGTGTGTGCGTCTCACGGTTTGACGCATGCGCATTCGCAATGTACCCTCGTGCCCGTATGTGACCTCAGACGTGTGTTTCCTTTTCGCGCGAAATAAGACGTGTGGACATACATATGAGGCTTGTTCGACTTGAACCGGCGCTGCACAGAGCGATCAGTGAATAACATCAAAGTACCGCGAGAGCGACGGCTCCTTATGCTTTTCAATCACTCTCGCGGTACTTTGATGTCATAAACCGATCGCCCTGTGCAGCGCCGGTTCAAGTCGAACAAGCCAGTAAAGGTGGAGTATGGAGTGCTGCAGGTCACGTCACGTGTAGAAATGGCAAGTGGGAGAGATAAGGAAGGCTAACGAGGATGGGCCAGCGTCGTATAAGTCCGGTGTGTGGGAACATATTTTGGATTAAAAAAAATGTATCCTCACTCTCAGGGAATAGAAGCATTGTTTATACTGTTTTTATTGTTTTATTGTTTATACTGTGTTGAGGTTGAACTTATGTTTCACTTTATGATTATGGCCTTTGCTATTGCTATAGCCTAATTATAGTAAATTATGTTTAATGTATTTTGACTTATTTAAAAGACAGAGTTTTAAGAGTTCCTCTCTACACTTAAGTTGGCAGTTTGATAAAGGCAGGTTAATTTCAATCTTTGTGTGCTAAAAATGCACATAAGTTCCTGTAGAGATAGTGATACACATTCTCCTTTTTTTTGCCAAATAAACGAAAAGCATGTCATCAATATCTTCTCTCTTGCTGTATCAAAATCTCACCTAGCTTTCCTCGGAGATGGTCCCAATAATGTGCTTAAAGTCAAGTCAAATTCAGTTTGTGCATGATATAATTTTTTTTTTTAATACTGTATCCTAAATTGTGGATAATTAAGCTATATATCATATGCTGAAGTACATTTCTGGAGTGTTAAAGATAAAAAAAAAAATAACAACAAGAACCGTAGAGAACCGAAAACCGTGACCCTAAAACCGTGATACAAACCGAACCGTGGGTTTTTTGAACCGTGCCACCCCTAATAGGTCCCCTTTAAGCATTTCAGATAAATACACCCCTAAATTATGAGTTTGAACCTAGAAAGAACCATTGAATTTTCTTCATTACCACTGTACTCTTTCTTACTCTTACTCCACTGTGCACTGCTCTTAGCACAAAAACAAAAACAAACAAACAAAACAGCAAACCTTTCGTGGCTTGAGCTTGTCTTGCAGGTCGTACTGGCCAATGCCTTTGTAGCTAATCCCCAACCACCACGGTATGCCCTGTTTGTCCTGTAAAAGAATTTTTTTTTTTTTTTTTTTTTTAAAGGAAAGGTAATTACTATTTGCTTTTGTCTGGCATGGTAGAGAAATAAAAAGATCAAATGGGTCCAACCAACACAGCCATTCACATACAGTAGCAGTGATTTAAACAGCACTGTTTGATCTCCAGAGACATTTCTAATGAACTAAGCACAATAGACTAGTTGCACGTGGCCGCCATTTTGGATTTTTGATCAGCGAGTGTGCGGTTGGACACTTCCGGTGTCGCTTTACGCCCGGTGCAGGGAGCCGGAGAAAGCCGAAAATGATCTCTTATAGTTGTTTATAGAATAAATTATATCATTTAAAATACTACTAAGATATATATTACTATCACATGAGCAAATGGCAATTAAATGCACGGATGCAAAGTCAGATTAATGAATGAAATACAACTGTTCATGCACGAACAGAAGATTGTCTTGGTCTCATGCTGCATACGCAATGAGAATTATGCCTTCTGTTAACATTGAGTTACAACTACGATTATATTTGTTTGCATACAATACCGCCTGAACATTCACACGTTTGCCCTGTCTTATTTATCTCCATAAATAGGCCTACTATTTTCTCATTTCTATTTTCATATATTTTCACTTACTTGCAGTTGCTCGATCAATATTATCAACATATATTTTCACTTACTTACATCAGTTGCTCGATCAATATTATCAACATATATTTTCCTTACATGCTTTCTTTGCATCAATTATCTTTATAGATAAAAACGACGGCGAAAAAAAATCGTAATAATTGCGAGTAATTTACATTTTTAACTGTAACGTTAGTTAACACAAACAATTTAATATAGGCCTAGCTATAAGTTTGTGTATATTTTACAGCAAATACTGTATGTGCTGCTTATAAAAAAAACAGATAATGATTTATGAAATATTTATGATTTAAGATGATCTTTACTCATCTCACTTGCACAAAATAAATGCAGTAATAGAACGCATAGAAACGCACAGGTGAAATACGCTGAAGATTATATGCATTTAAATGACATACTAAAATACAAACAGTTAGAGCAATAATAATGTTACCAAATAAAGTAATGCCGACGACCCGGGTGTTTTTGTCACCCTCTGATGACAGATGCTTTTGATGCACATGACTGTTTTTAAAATTCAAGGGAGGCGACTTGCCTTTCAGAGGTGACAGCCTCAGCACTTCACTGGTATGTCTCGTTATGAAACACGTTAAAACAAAGAAGTCAGCTTTTCATGCATTCCCCGTTGGTGACCAGTCCCGAAATTTGAAGCTTTGTCCCACGTCCCGCAAGTCATAAGCAGTGTCCCGCATTTTAATTTCGTCTGCATCATTTTATTTCATCGTCCTTTAAATGACAATTCTACAATAAAAAATGTTAATAATAAAACACTGAACATGCGCAGCGCAGCCGTAATTATTGGTTCTAGTCAGAGAGGGAAAACAAACACCGAGAAACCCCCACACACACAGACAAAAAAAACTGCAACAGAAAAATGGATCTGGCCTCCCGAGAAGAAAAAGCGTCTTGTTCGTATAAGGAATGGGAGAAAAAAACATGGTAAAAACCAGTTACAGGTGACCCTAAAAAAGGAGATGTGTCTAGACACATAATGAATGAGAAGCCCCTACTCGAAGCTGCCATCAGACAAAAAAATATAAATTCAAGATGCACTGAATCCGGTAAGAACGCATTTAATCTCTCTAGTCTTTCCTAATGGAATGTATGTGCTTATTTGGAAATGTGTTTTTTAGCGATTTGATTATTATTTTCACTTAATTATTTAGATTGAATAGACCTGTGCTGTTAAAATGAGTTTTATATTATTAGTGAGGTTCACAGCGCCGGTCAGCGCCGTCATTAACATTAGCAATTTAAAGCATATCACTGCAAAAAGACATCTAATATAAAATCTATATTTATTCACCTAGTATAATAATAGCAAGTTCTCTCTGTGTCCCGCAAAATCAGGTCTGCTGATATAATCAAATATAATCGTAGTTGTAACTCAATGTTAACAGAAGGCATAATTCTCATTGCGTATGCAGCATGAGACCAAGACAATCTTCTGTTCGTGCATGAACAGTTGTATTTCATTCATTATTCTGACTTTGCATCCGTGCAATTGCCATTTGCTCATGTGATAGTAATATATATCTTAGTAGTATTTTAAATGATATAATTGATTCTATAAACAACTATAAGAGATCATTTTCGGCTTTCTCCGGCTCCCTGCACCGGGCGTAAAGCGAAACCGGAAGTGTCCAACCGCACACTCGCTGATCAAAAATCCAAAATGGCGGCCACGTGCAACTAGCCTATTATAAATCAAACCACACAGTGGATAATTATTTAACCAATCATAAATCAAGTAAAGGACATAATAATTATGTCAGCTTCAGTACTTATAATGTCTAGGTTTATGTCCTAAAATACCACATGATAAATCAAATCACATACCTTCACTTTGTAGTAATGAACTCCATATGCAGGCAAGGACTCAACTAAGGTCATATACCTGTTGATTGAAGTTACAACAGTCCAGTAAATAACAGTATAGCACAGAAAGTTAATAAGATAGTGTTTCAGACAAAAACAACAAGGATGAACAACATTTTAACCCTAGTTAATCATCTATAATGCATCACTGACAGTAGTCCTACAAACTCCTAGTGCTTTCACAGTGAGGGGAAATGTCAATATATCAATGGCGGAGCACAAATCAAGCTGACAGAAATGACCTTGTCTCATCCCAATGAGCTAAAAATAAAGTGGGACAGTGTGATTAGGCCGGTTGAAAGCGGTCACTTTCAGTAATGTGGTCTAATTAATTACGCAGTTTCGCTCTTCCACAAACAACTGTGCAGTAGTTATCAGAGGTTGGGCAACAAGCTCAGTCTCACAGTTCCTGTATCTACTGTACGTTCATTGAGGGCCTTTATTTCAGGCAATTCATAAATTATTATTGTACTTACCGTACGATAGCCTGTCCACGACTGAGTCCTTTTAGCTTCTTATAATGCTCGATTACTTTATCTTCACTAGAGGGCAAAAGAGAGAAACGTTACCATCCGCACAATTGCAACCAAATAATAATTGAGCATAAGACCAATATGTGAATGTGCCATTTAAATGACGAGGCTAGTCAGACTATTAACTAGTCAGATATTACACCAGGTGCACCCATGTGTGAAATGCCATCTGGCTGTCTGTCCTGTGAATCACACTCACACACTGTTTATGGCAAATTATCCTAATAACCGGTTCAGTTCCTCAAACACATACACACACTGTAAGTATTCATGTCCACTATTAATATGAAACAGCAAAAACGAAATTAATATGACAGATGAACATTACAGTAAACTTGTACACTAATACAATATATAGACAATTTTTATATATAAACTAACACAGCTGCTTATGCACTTACTCACACAGCTGCCTCTTAAACACTTGCACTAACGCACAGCTGTTTCCTAACATACTCATTCCCACTCACACACTTCAATAATTGCGGTCAGTTAACTGGTTTACTGTCTTACTGCTCCACTCTTACACTCAATACCCATTGATTAAAGCTGCCACATCAATCCTTTTAAGGTGGTAGACTTCAACATCTAGACGTCTAGGGTTACAGTAGCCAGAGGGCAGGCATCATTAACAAGCAAGTTAATTAGCAAGGTTTGTTTGAAATAAACAGGCTACAGCTTGCACACTACAACCTGGCTACACTAAAGTTTTTGAGTTTCAAGACTCATAACACATTTATTCACACTTATGGAATATGTTGGTTTTAGACACTGAATAATGTTCTGAAAAATATGATCATGATGGATACAATCAAGTCTCGCCTACATAATTTCCTTCCGAATATTGCGTTTCACTCTGAAAAATGGCATATTACAGAAGTTACCTGCCTTTATTACAGAAACAAATATGCAGTCTTACCAGAATGCTAATGATGGGTGCTCCTTTAAAACCGCAGTGGGGAAAGCTGGAAGCTTTTTTAAGTCTGATCTTGTGCTTTCATCACTAAAAGATTGAAACAAACAAAAACATCACTAACTGTGTTAAAAATGAGATACTTCCTAGCTAAATATATGCTAGTGTATAAAACACAAAACATGGTTGTACCGTATGACTACAGTATCAAGACCGTATAGTACAGTACAGTATTTGGTTGCATAGATTTCAAACAAGAGGGTTTTTTTTTTTAAAAGACTTGCATCAAATTTCTACGGAAGCGTATTGCATTCACTTGAAGAAAAAAATCTACTCTGTTTTTCTGAACTAATGAGTTAATTATCTCAGAATTACGAGATAATTTTTCATGGAAAAAAAGTTTTTGCTCTGTTTTTCTGAATTTCTGAGTTTTTGAGATAATCAAGTCATTAATTCAGAAAAACAGAGCAAAAAAATGTTTCCATGAAAAATTCTCTCGTAATTCTGAAATAATTAACTCATTAATTCAGAAAAACAGAGTAGATTTTTTCTTCAAGTGAATCCAATACGCTTCCGTAAATTTCCTTTTTAGGCATTAAAAGCAATGTATGAAGTGTTTGTTAAAATTAATTTAAAAAAAATTACTGACAAATTTTTTTTGAACATATTTTCCAAAACACACCCTTAAAAAATCATTACTAACAGTCTGAAACAGTCAATACCAACAGGAAAGCTAATACATTTTCTTATTTTAAAAATTGATTATTAACAGTCGAGTGCAGTTACTTGAAACATTGAAATATTACACATTTTTATATACTTTTGACTGATGTCCCATTACTGCAACACCTTTTGCAATGTACAACCTAATTTTTTTCATATATTTCAATAGGTTTTCATTTCATTAGATTTTATTGAAACTTGACATTGGCAAACCAGAAAGAATATAAATGTATAGATTCTGTAAATGTCAAAACAAGGCATGATTTAAGAGATAATGCTTGCTTGATGACAGATTAGCATATTTTTCTTTTAGAGCTTCTTGATGTTTGAGGAGCATACCATTTTTATCTTTCATCCTCATGCTGGAATTCCTTTCCAGATAGATGGGCTTCCTATTGCAAACAGCTCACAACTCTTACACTTTAAACCAATTAATGTTTAAATTACAAATCATCTTGAGTGATTTTTTTATAGTCACTCAGAGCAGATTTTTAAAGATTAGATGTAAATGTAAAACAGATTTCCCATGTAAGCTGAAGTTAGTGATAGTGATGATGCAGTACTTGAGCTAATAGCATCTTATCTCAGTGGAGAGAGTATACTATATCAAAGTCTGTTACCTGAATATACAGTTATAGCATTTCAATTACAAAGCATGTTTAAAGTAATAGTTCTGTCGTATACTTCATGCTCATGTTGTTCCAAAGCCGTATGACTTACTTTTTTCTTCTCTGAAACAAAGAGCATGTAATTGCATGGACAAACGGCATCTAGTGCTGAATCGAAGAAAGTCAGTCATACAGGTTTGAAGTGGCATGGGGGGGGGGGGGGGGGGGGGGAATGTACTTCAATAAGGGATAGTTATTGCAATTAATCTTTGCAATAACTATCCCTTTAAGGGCTTAGAAGCCTTAATATTTAACTACCGTACAACAAAAGCAACTCAAAAAGTGTAACCATTGTGATGGAAGGAAAGACACACAACACCCGAATTCATAAAACACGACAGCAGTGTTATAGAAAACCCTCATTGTCATACGTTTCCAGATATCTGATCTGCTCAAGCAAGCTTTGAACTGATCTTTTCCAAAACCAAGTTGAGGGTGAAGTGGGCGATATTGTTTTTACAGGAAGCAATTACCAGAAAACAAAGGGGCAAAAACTGATCTAAATGTGCAGAACACTTTAAAACCACAACATCTGAGTCAGAATACTTTGAAAATTAATTGAAGACAAAAGGAAACAGGTTACAGAATTGATAACATAAAACCTCTCTAGCCCCGCTTATCAGCCCATTAATACCTTGCTCGGCTAAGCACCACTATATTCCCTGGCGCTCTTCCCTTTCCAAGCCAGTTGGTTCTGCAGTTCAGCGATTTATGATAAGTTTGAAGGTATAAATCTAGCAGGCTGGGTTGATGATGTGGTAAAATACAGTAAGCTGGTTCCCTGAGACTGCAATGCCTTGTCAGCAATCTGGAATTCATTATGCTGTCTGTACTATCAAAGAGTTGGCAAGGAAGGGCGGGCACATGCTTAACCCAGCACAAGCAACGCATGGAGGAGTTAGAGCCATGTGTCAGCTTTTTCAAGAATACACAGAGTGCATTAGTGCCCGCCCACTTAATCAGTGGCTTTGGTTCCGGAAGTATTTTTTCCATTTGTTTTTCCTATAGGGATTTTTGAAAGTTTTCTTTTTAAAGCCATGATTGAAGCAAACCAGCTCAGAGGTGAATCACAACATTACAAACCTTTACTCGAAGCTCAAAATATCAGAAAATTTGACAAAAAGACAAAGGTAGAAAAACGTGTAGGCCTACGTGACTGCTTTAAGGTTTGGTTTCGTCACGCGGACATTGCACAGACAGTCGAAGTATACTTTGGGCTTTAGTGAGGGGAAGAACTACTTTCCCTCACTACTGAAGCATTGCTAATGGCAATCAAATTAAAAACTATAGAGAAATATATAAATATTTAAATTTGTTGATTATATCTAGAGAAACATTATATTTTAAATGTATTTTTAATATATATGGCTTCAATAAAAGCATGTAACATTGATTAACAACTTCTGAGTAGATCTATTTTTTAAGGCTCATAAAAGTTATCGTTAAAAACTAATTCCCTTAAGGAGAAAATGAATGGAATTTTTACTTCCAGCACCCGACTATTGCACTCTACAGGTCTTGATGTCAACGTCTTTGAAACGCATGTGATTTCTGCTTAGAATTCAGGTTCAACAGGATCAAGCATTTTCATAACAGTATTTAAAAATATAAAAGTGATTAATATTTATTTTAAAAGTGACACCACTTCTTAAACTTTCCATATTCTCTCTAAAGAACTAGGAAATATTAGGAGGTGATTGTATAGGAAGAACCCCTGAGTTGTTGCCCCTGACATAAACTGCAGACAGATGACATCAGCATCCTGCATGACGCCCTATGTCTGCCAACGGGAGATGTCTCCACTCCCTTTCCACTAACATCTATGCAGTCTTAACAGAGGAGGAGTGGTAGGTTTATATGAAGAGAGACGTGGGGGTCTTCTAGCTTCCTACATAAACTTAAAGCCCCGGGCCTCCCAATGCAACTGCTCTGGCTTTATGAGATCTGGGAGCTTCATCCACATGAAATAACAGAAATTAAGGGAAGAGAAAGTCTAAAGGGTTTGCTGATGTTAAGCCCACTTATACTATAAGAGGATGCTATCAGTAATGATACACTGCTACCAGAACTGCTTAATTATGTGCCAGCAAATAAATAGTGAAGGGTATATCAGACATAAAAATGTACTAACATGACCCACCTAGGCTATATCTTTAACCAAAAACTCAAAATTGGGAATAGACTACCATTTTAAAATGTTTGGGGTCTGTAAAATTGAGGTTTTTGAAAAAAGTATATTATACTCAGCAAGGCTGCATTTATTTGATAAAAAATACAGTAAAACAGGAATATTGTGAAATATTATTACAATGTAAAATAACCACTTTCTATTGAATATATTTAAAAATGTAATTTATTCCTGTGATGCAAAGCTGCATTTTCAGCAGCCATTACTCCAGTCTTTAGTGTCACATGATCCTTCTATGCTCAAGAAACATTTCTTATGATCAATGTTGGAAAAAGTTAATGCTTAATATTTTTGTGGAAACCATGATACTTTCTTCAGGATTCTTTGATGAATAGAAAGTACAAAAGAACAGAACTTATTTGAAATAGAAATCCTTTGTAAGTAATCTTGCTGAATAAAATGATATTAAAAAAATATAATATGCCACCTGTGTAATCTGACCTCCCATTTTCCCGACAAGCCCTTTCAATATGTCCCTTCCTGTCCATTTCGACATAAGCACGTCGACACAGAATGAAAACAAAGCTTGCAAGCCATTTCACAAGGCATTTAACAAGTTACCCACTGCTAAACAAAAGCAGTCGTTGTTGTAAGGTAAACATTTTCAGAGTAAAAGGGGCTGTTTGCACACCTCTGTTCTCTCACTCTGCTCAACAGTGGACAAGCTCTGTTTCCCAACAATGAACTGCAAGGCTACCGAGAAAAAGTAGTCAACACGACACGTTCAAACCTTGCAGACCAATTCATCCTTTTCATTTGTTAGGGTTTCGTTAACAGATTGCTTTATCCCAATGCATCCCATTCACTGCCTCAAGCACATGTTAACAGAGAGGATGAAGAATTCCATTACTCACAACAACTAATCACTTGGAGTAAACCTCCTGAAAATTTATGAACGGAGAACTAGGTAATATGCCAACTGGCATGATGACTGTAAAAATGTGCTTAGAAAGTGGCCAACATTTATAAACAACAAAAAGCTCTGAATTGAATTATGCTGTCGTACATGAAATGCAACTGTCAAGGGTCCTTTTTTAAGGTTTGAGTCCAGAAATATCTAAGCCATGGACATATACATCACATACAGGGTTCCAGACTGCGACCAAATTGGTCGCATATGCGACCATTTTTTGAGAATGTGCGAGTTAAAATGTTATGTGGTCGCATTTGTGCGAGTGGACGCTTGAGCAACAGAACGCCGTTGTATCAGCTGCTGCAGTCCGTAACTTATGTTCAAAATGAACGAGTAGGCTACATCATGATTTCCTTTTCCAAACCGTGTTTTTGACTTATTCTGAATCACTACGGTACGCCTATAATAAGTGTTTATATTCGGAGTATTTTATCACGGGGTCGTCTCGGCTGCGGAGTAGCCCAGTGCCTGCGTGACTCGCCATAGACATTAACGGAGAGAAGTTCCGTCTACAATGTTCTTCCGCAAGACACGTGCAGTTTATTTATTGACGAACGTAGACGTCACGCGCATTGCACACTGATGGTGAAACGCGCCAATTACGAATTCACGAATTAAGGCATACAAAAATGATAAAAATGGTCTCACGAAACACAGAGCCCCTTCCTCCTATGTCTTTTCAGCGGTTATATTTTCCTCTGTCGAGCGATTACTCTCATGATCGCTCGACAGAGGAAAAGGAAATTATTATAAAATGCAGAAGGTAAGGAGTGTGAGATTTCTGCTTTTTGTTACAACTATAAACTTTGATAACGAAAAATCTGTATCAGTTTATTATAATAGGCTACTCTAATCTTTTAAAATGTAATGCATTTGAATGTTTAATGATTTTTAAAAGATAGAAAGATGATAATAGACAGATAGACAAATAGATAGATAGATAGATAGATAGATAGATAGATAGATAGATAGATAGATAGATAGATAGATAGATAGATAGATAGATAATGATTCAAATGTAAATAGATAGATTGTATATAATAATTCAAATGTAAAATGCTTAAAATTACAGATTAAAATTACTGTCCAAAATCCATGAAAATCCTGAAATTTGGCAATGATAATTCATATATTACAGGTATTTCTGCTGCAACCCAGAAAGCCTTTGCTAGCCTTGGTCCATTAAAACCACTATTCATCAGCATGCATTGATTAATCCCATGGCATGTAGCAAAAAAAAGAAAAAAAGGTGCGACCAAATCATATGCTGGTGCGACCAACTGAGAAAGTTGGTAGCACCAGTGCAACCAGTGGAAAAGTTAGTCTGGAGCCCTGACATATATTGACTGCCAGTTCTACTCACTCATTAAATGTTTCCTTTGGAAATGATCAACTAGGGCTGAATTCACAGCATTGAGGCACACAACCTGAACATTAACTCAAAAATGCTTACTTTTAGATGGATCTAACTAACTTACAAAAACAATTCCACCCCCAAGTTGGATGGACACTAATTTTAGCAATACAAATAAAAATAGAACATTCCTTTTTTTTTGCAGTTATTTTGTAAGGTATGATGGAATTTATCATCTACCAAATTATAATTTGAACACCAGTGCAAAAACTGAATGTGGCAATTTTTTTTTCATTTCATGTTTGGTCTGGAAAGGAACTGACTTTTAATTGAGTTTAGAATGTTATGTAATTAACAGCAGTATTAAAAGTTAAATATCTGAAGAGTTTAGCTTTGTAACCCCCTACGCCTGTTACTTGCTGTTGATTAATGGCCTCTATCAAATTTTATAATGCTAAACTGTAAGAAGAGGAAGCTTAAACTATGGTGACAGTAATACCAATTTCAAGCATAACCTTAATACTAATGTTTTGATCCCAAAAAATACAAGGCATATCAGTAAATATAAATACAAAATAAAGTAGTGAGTACAGTGAGGCTAAAAGTATGTGTAAACTTCAGACACACTCGTACATGCGCCGAAAATTTCGACCCCACAAATGATCCTTAACCTCATCTCATCAACCTCAACTTTCAAATATTGCATTTTCTGTTAACCACCTGGTTCCAAGGTCATTTTAGTGGATTCAACTTTCCCTTAAGTTCACACAGGTGTCCTAGCAGGTGCCTGTTCCATTAAGTTGGACAATATATATATATATATATATATATATATATATATATAACGTTATATATATATATATATATATATATATATATATATATATATATAAACTTGATATATAAAAGCTGTCTTCATTTTGAACAATATCTATTAATTATTCAAAGTCAAACAAATAAATAACTTTAAAACTATAGATAGGTAGATAGATAGATATCTATCAATTAGAATATAAAGTCTGTATTAGATGATATATCTGGACTGAGACTTTAAAGGTCGGTTACCCCTGATCTAATGTCTTCCAAGATCTAAGTTTTCTCTTACCTTATGAAGTCTCCGTTTGCCTCCTAAAGAAAGAGACAAAAGTGCTTGTTGATGAATCATTTCAGACTGAACCTTTATAACATTAACTGTTACATGCTTGAGTCTTGAGTCAATGCGGTAAGAAGCTTAACGTTAACTCCAGAGTGGGTTTGCTACAGACCACAAGTCTCTAAACTTTGTATTAGACATTTTCCAAATAATGTATGTTGATATATTCACAGTTAACGTTAAGTTGCACCGTAAGCACTTCAACGCAAAAATACAAACTTGCAACGAAAGAACGTCGATTGATAATAACTTACAGTTTAGCGAAAATATACATGCAAATTCTGTCGTAAAAAACATTAGTACCCATGTCGTTGTAACTGGTTTTTTTCCAAAGCAGCTTAAAATCAGTTCAGGAGATACAAATTGCGTGTGAAAATTACTCGCAGCGAGTCTGTCAAAACTAACCCAGAGAACTAAAATTCTCACTCACCTGAACAGTGTATGCAGCTAACTTAAAAACGATCTCACTCTCCACTTCAATGGTTTCCTGTAAGTATTTAAAAGGAAGGAGTACAAAATTATTAAATCGCTTTACACGTAAGGCTTTCGGCAGACACACCGAATCTAACTATTTATCCCACCAGTTCCACCACACACAGGTTCCACAGTGGACGATACCATCTTTGTAAACAGACACGGGGTGTTTGTACGAAAGTGATCACTTTATCTACCTTAAACGCACTGTATCATTACACAACTAACATATTATTACGATAACACATGAATTTAGTATTTTAAAAACATAAAAGACACTAATATATTTAATATGACTGCAGTACATAACTTGGACCACCCCAGGATGACATGGTACAGACTGGGAGCAGGTTCTTCAGCGCTGCGCTCATGTTTCAACCTCAACGTGCATCAAAATAAGTTACTCTGGTGTCTCGCGAACGCAAATAATAATAAAAAACTGTTTAAAAAAAGGTTTTCACCACACGTTCGCGCAAGGGTAATTTTAAATATAAGTCTAAAGAAGTTTGTGGCTGTAGTACTACAGTTACAGGAGTAGATTAATCAGTCAACATGGGGTCGCTGTACAGCAACGAGAAAAATCCCTCAACCACTCAATCACGCCACAGCGCCCCTCACACAATCCACACCACAAAGAACGGATTAACAGCAATATTGCAAATATTTACTTATATTTAGTGATGTCACTCGATTAAAAATAACTAAATAATTCTGTAATCACGATTAATCTCACCTAACATTACAAAATGTAATATATTTATATATATATATTAATATTGTAATACATAACTTCACATTTAATTTGTTTGATGGCATGATCACTGAGTAGCTACTATGAATGAAGGCCAGTATCATCAATATTGCTACTGATGTATCCATTTAAAAAAAAAAAAAAAAAATCCTCAATTTCTGGGGATTAAATGTGTAATTACAGCCATTTATTATTTTTAACATTCAATAAGCTTAAAAAAATACAAGAGTTTTAATTTAGGGGAACTTAAAACAATCTTCACATAAACCCATTTTATTAAATGCCACATTTAGTTATAGTTTTCTTTATTTTTGCCCCATGTAACCTTGTAGCTATTTTAATTAATAAGGTTATTATTACATGACATTTTACATATCAGTGAGTCAGTGACATTTCACAATTCTTGATTTTTAAACCACAACAAAAACTACTAGCCTGAAGTCCACATTTTTAATGTAAACAGTCAATAATAAAACTGTCAGGCATTTAACCTTATACTGCAGCAAACTGCACAAAATTACAGAAAAAACTTAAAAAATTCTTAAATGTCCATATTTATTCCCATTTACAGAAAATAGATGTAAATAATTATATCTTTGTCAAAGATAAGCAAATAGTAAACGCCAACAGAAAAAAAAAAATCACACTGCATATATACCCAATTGCTTCAAAATTGCTCCAGTAACAATTAGTAGCCTATTTCCCACCAATTTTTTGTGTAAACTTTAACTTTTTTTTGTTACACCGTGTCCTAACTACACGCGACGCCACGACGTGCGAAAAAAGATATATTTTCCATGTTAATCAGAGTTTTTGTCCTAACCAGCCGCGACGGCGACATGCAACGATTTTATTTTAGAAACGGTTTCTATTTTTCTGCAACGTCGCGCTGGAACAACAAACACAAAGTGTGGCAATAATAATCTCAGGTACTATTTATGTGCTTTATTTAATGTTAAAAGTGTGTAATGTGACTTTGAATATCATTTAGTGCTCCCAGCTTTGTAGCTGTAAAAGCAACAATGGATAATTCACCCCAGATCTTGAAATTAAACAAACTAGTGCAAAGTGCCCGTGCAAAATCAGTTTTTGTGTGTGTTTTTAGTAATTGTTGGTTTGGTGTGTTTGAGTGCTCATTGTTACAATTACACAGCAAAAGTTCAGTGACATTTTTATTTGTGCATGGTAGAAAGCAAATACTGATACTGACATAATGACATAAAATAAATATGGAAAATTGAACTACACAATTCAGGGAGCTACACAGTGAGGGGGAGTGGCCACTCAGTGTGCAGTGTGAGAGGGGGAGTGGCCACTCAGTGTGCAGCGTGAGAGCGGGAGTGGCCACTCAGTGTGCAGCGTGAGAGGGGGAGTGGCCTCAGTGTGCAGTGTGAGAGGGGGAGTGGCCACTCAGTGTGCAGCGTGAGAGAGGGAGTGGCCACTCAGTGTGCAGCGTGAGAGGGGGAGTGGCCTCAGTGTGCAGTGTGAGAGGGGGAGTGGCCACTCTGTGCAGTGTGAGAGGGGGAGTGGCCTCAGTGTGCAGTGTGAGAGGGGGAGTGGCCACTCAGTGTGCAGTCTGAGAGGGGGAGTGGCCTCAGTGTGCAGTGTGAAAGGGGGAGTGGCCACTCAGTGTGCAGCGTGAGAGGGGGAGTGGCCTCAGTGTGCAGTGTGAGAGGGGGAGTGGCCACTCAGTGTGCAGTGTGAGAGGGGGAGTGGCCACTCAGTGTGCAGCGTGAGAGGGGGAGTGGCCTCAGTGTGCAGTGTGAGTGGCCACTCTGTGCAGTGTGAGAGGGGGAGTGGCCACTCTGTGCAGTGTGAGAGGGGGAGTGGCCTCAGTGTGCAGTGTGAGAGGGGGAGTGGCCACTCAGTGTGCAGTGGGAGAGGGGGAGTGGCCACTCTGTGCAGTGTGAGAGGGGGAGTGGCCTCAGTGTGCAGTGTGAGAGGGGGAGTGGCCACTCAGTGTGCAGTAGGAGAGGGGGAGTGGCCACTCAGTGTGCAGCGTGAGAGGGGGAGTGGCCACTCAGTGTGCAGTGGGAGAGGGGGAGTGGCCACTCAGTGTGCAGTGTGAGAGGGGAAGTGGCCACTCAGTGTGCAGTGTGAGAGGGGGAGTGGCCACTCAGTGTGCAGTGTGAGAGGGGGAGTGGCCACTCAGTGTGCAGCGTGAGAGGGGGAGTGGCCACTCCGTGTGCAGCGTGAGAGAGGGAGTGGCCACTCAGTGTGCAGCATGAGAGGGGGAGTGGCCTCAGTGTGCAGCGTGAGAGGGGGAGTGGCCTCAGTGTGCAGTGTGAGAGGGGGAGTGGCCTCAGTGTGCAGTGTGAGAGAGGGAGTGGCCACTCAGTGTGCAGCGTGAGAGGGGGAGTGGCCTCAGTGTGCAGTATGAGAGGGGGAGTGGCCACTCAATGTGCAGCGTGAGAGGGGGAGTGGCCTCAGTGTGCAGTGTGAGAGAGGGAGTGGCCTCAGTGTGCAGCGTGAGAGGGGGAGTGGCCTCAGTGTGCAGTGTGAGAGGGGGAGTGGCCTCAGTGTGCAGTGTGAGAGGGGGAGTGGCCTCAGTGTGCAGTGTGAGAGAGGGAGTGGCCACTCAGTGTGCAGCGTGAGAGGGGGAGTGGCCTCAGTGTGCAGTGTGAGAGGGGGAGTGGCCACTCAATGTGCAGCGTGAGAGGGGGAGTGGCCTCAGTGTGCAGTGTGAGAGAGGGAGTGGCCACTCAGTGTGCAGTGAGAGGGGGAGTGGCCAGCGGCTAGAGCGGCAAAAGCCATGTGTGCTTCTTTTACCGATATATTTAACGATATCTTTTGCATTTCTAATCCAAACAACGTCAAACTTGGCACTGCACTGCACTTTCTCGTGCCCGTAGCAAGACACCTGTCAAGTTTGAAATCCATCGGACTAACGGTTCGAGAGATATGCGAATAACAGACAGACGTTCCTGTAATTTATAGATATGGAAACAAGAACGTTCAAACTGTGAAGAAACAAGTGTATTATTTGACAAAGATTGTTTTAGTAAGTCAGTAGCCTATGTATTTGAATACTGTTTAAATTGTGTAATATTTGTGAATTTGATTATGTAGCCTACTTATCCATTTTCTTGCGAGTGTCGTCAAGATTACTCTCTGGTGCTGTGCACTTGCCACGAGACTCCGCCCACACGCTGTTCTGATTGGCTGTGGGTTTTGATTGATTTTTACGCATCTCGCAGTCGCGTCGCGTCTAGTGTGGACAGACGAATTATTTGTCGCTGGAATCTTATCGCATCGCGTCTGGTTAGGACACGGTGTTAGATAGTAAAATACGTATATGATTATTTTGGAATTAGCCTATGTGAACTGTAATGGTTTCTGTTTAGAAAAAAAAAAAAAAGGAAGTCTGTCAGAGCAAGCTAAATTCATACTACCTTCTTTCTTTATCAAATGTGTTAGGTTGAGTTAGATTTGGTGGTTCAATAATGGCCTTTACAGTTGAAAGAGGCTACAGAGGAACCAGCCAACCCAGCAGCATCCTGCTGTGCCAGGGCTGTCATCTGTAAATGCCCGTAATCAAAAAGAACTTAATGGAAGCCACCTGCCAAGCTCTTTTAAAGCCTCACAAAAGAAAGAAAAAAAATCAAAGGGAAAAATCATCCACAGACATTTGTTGTAGAAACCATAAGAATATTGCACTACTAAATAAGAGTATTGCAATCTTTAATAGATTTTGGATGTTTTGATCTGTGACATGATTTTGATATTTGGATCACTTACATTGTAGACAGATATCTTAGCATTCCGGAAAAACAGTTTGACAGTGGTAGCATCTTTCAAACATGCAACACTCTCGATGTAAAACCTACAGAAAACAGCGACAATCAATGAGGAACATAAATGAACTCCTATGATAAACCAATACTAACAATCATTGCATATAAAGATAATAAAATACAAAGTAATTAGTTATGAATGAGAAATTATTGTCAATCTCAATGCCAAATCTTGTATGTCTTGCTTTTGTATGTTGAAGTTGCACCAGCATGCCTCATGCTGTACTGGTGGCGCCCCCTATTGGTTAGCCATTGGACATGCAAATGAGTGAATCTGAACTAACCTGACTTGGAATTTGAGCTCAAGTGGTCCAGTCTTTTTGGAAAAGTCATGGTCCAGCACCCTGCGATCCAGTTGAAGCCAGTTTTTTTGACCCCTGATAAATGGCAAAAAGTCTAATTCAATACTTGGGCTAAATCACATAAGAAACATAATGATGTCTTTGAAAGACTTGCAAGAACTATTTATGGTTGTACATAATTAAACCTCACATGTTGTGTATGATCCTATATGTGCTTTGTTTGACTGAATGAATGATCAAAAGCAAGTAGGTATTTAAAAAAAAAAAAAATCATAAAACAACAATAGGCTCCTTGTAAAAGTGGAATACCTCTGAAGCCCCATCTAAGCCTTTTGTTCGAAATCTTGTGAGTTGACAGACTTATAGCAGTTAGAAGTTCAGTTATTATTTGAGGATGTCTGGTTAACGCTACTTCAATGTGTGTAATGAACAGGGATTACATGCTAGTTTAATAGTGTAGCCTAATTAAAGATCTACTGGGTGAGTCTGTATTGTGAAGTATGCTAATAAGCAAAAATAAATACGTCTTTCTATACAATGACAACAAATCACTTCACTAACTTACCTCTCATCAGTGAAGGAGATTCCAAAATATTCTTTCTCTTTTAGGTTGAAATGTGATGAAACCAGATCCAGGAGATCTCGGGACAACAGTTTTGGCTGTATTAGGGAAACGGGTGTTACAGTTAATAACGTGTCTTTTTTAATCTATGAGTTAGTGTGGTGAGTTAGCTTTACCTGGACCAGTAGTTCCAGCTGCCTGTCATCTAGCAGAAGCACCTGACACAGCCGGCCCTCCGTCATCTGGCAAAGTCAAACACACATCCAGTTCATCTTATTATATTCAGTATTTGTATATTATTAATTCACATAAATATGGTCATGTATAAAATAGTGTGCACTTCAGTTCAAGAGTTTGAATACTGAAAAAGAAATGAATACGTTCAGCAAGGATGCATTAAATGGAAGACATTTATTATGTTACCATAATGTTTACAAATATTTCCATTTCAAATAAATCCTGTTCCTTTGAACTCTATTAAATCAAAAATATTAATAAGCACAAATGTTTTCAACATTTTCAACACGTGACACTAAAATAAATTACATATTAAAATATAATAAAATAGAAAAGTTTTCACACTGTAATAATATTTCACAATATTACAGTGTTTTTATCAAATAAATGCAGCCTTGGTGAGCATAAGAAACTTCTTTCCAAAACGTTTTTTGAACTTTTGAACAGGAGTGAATTTAACATTTTTATTGACACTGTCTGTCTGTGTGTGTGTGTGTGTAAGTGCATGTATATATTGAACACACTCTTCCATGACCTCCAATACAGATTTAGACACAATCATAACCTACTGCTATACTTATAAACACTAATCTAATGATGAGGAGAGTGTGTCCTCTGATACTGGGTTGATAAATTGGATTGTTTTTCCCATTGGGAAGATTGATCTCTGTGTACTGTCAGCTGGATTTAGATGTTATCTTGGCAGCCTCTTGGCAGGGTCACATTAGTATTTAGTATTCAACAACATCAGAGAAAACTGTGAAACAGTGAAATTATGAACACAATTATTACATAATCTTTATTCTGAATATCCTACATTTTAACTGATGTACTAATTATGTATGAATCTTAGAGTGTAGCATTTGATTTAGAATGGGAGAGTAGAGAGAGAGAGAGAGAGAGAGAGAGAGAGAGAGAGAGAGAGAGAGAGAGAGAGAGAGAGAGAGAGAGAGAGAGAGAGAGAGAGAGAGAGAGAGAGAGAGAGAGAGAGAGAGAGAGAGAGAGAGAGAGAGAGAGAGAGAGAGAGAGATCGAAAGGGCTTATCCTTTCAATAAATTCAAATGCTGCCTTTCGGACGAAGGATGTATTCCAAGGTAGGACGGTATCAAGGCATGTCCAAATCCAATATTAGCTTCATTTCCTGGGTGCTTCTCGATACTCAAACTGATGCTTCCTCATTTCCTCGTTCCTCAGTCCTCCGCCCTACATCTCGTGACCCGTAAACTGATCAAACTCAGCCATCTTAAAGGGCATCTCAATTCTCTAATAGCACTGCGAGGAACGAGGAGTGAGGAAGCTTCCTGAGGAGTCATGATCGGGGATAGACAGGTGTATCCTTCTCTCGCATCCTAAGGGGGTGAAGCTAAGATGTGAGGAAAGGAAACAAGGATGCACAAATAAGAAATGAGAAGCACCCCCTGACTCCTGAAATACCTTCATCTGATCAATTGTTGAAGGCAGCATAGATATATCATTCGCTGCCTTTGATATCCCACAATCCTGTGCTTTCCATTCTGTGACAGTTGTTGTCTGAAAGTTGAGGTTGGTGGTCAGTTTGTGTGGAAATGTAAATTTTTGCCCAACATTTTCCACCTCTGATGTTATTTCTAGCGTGGAATTACGATTGTTGTAATTAAAAATTTGCTTATTTATCACCAAAGCTCACTTTATTTTGCTGTAGATCATTAAACCATTACGCTGCCTTAGAAGCCAGTTTCATGACTGGTACCTTCATCCGCAAATGTTGCCTACAAAGTCATTGCCCGGCCGATAAGGCAGTGAGGCAAGTCAGCTGCCTAAGTTTTCAAATGCATCCAATGTGTGAGAGAGACTTAAACAGGAGGGCCTAAAGACATTTAAATTGATGCAAACCTAAACTTGTACGGTTACATTGTTCCCTTCACCATGTCCAATACAACGCTTATATTTATTTTTGGCAATTTACATCATTCTTTCTTACACAATGGCTGTGCTGCTACATAGCAGAAAGCCCAAGACTGAGCCCTAAAATAATTTAATATAATCAGATTCTAAGTGAATCATAGTCATGTGAAATTGCAATATCTTTTCATTGTTGAAAGATGCCTCCTGATAAGATTTATCATAATAATAAAACTATAATTATATACAGTTGTGGTCAGAATTAATGGCACCCCTGGTAAATATGATCAAAAATGGCTGTAAAAAATAAATCTGCATTGTTTATCCTTTTGATCTTTCATTCAAAAAAAATTTCACAAATATTGGCACCCCTTTACTTTTTGCAACCTCCTTTTGCCAAGATAACATCTCTTCTCTTCAGTTCAGCCCACTCGTTTTCTATATAGGGTTCAGTTTAAGGAACTGGGACGGTCATGGCAGAAGCTTCATTTTGTGCTCAGTTACCAATTTTTGTGTTGATTTTGATGTTTGTTTTGGACCGTTGTCCTGATGGAAGATCCAACCATGGCCCATTATAAGATTTCTAACAGAGCCAATCAGGTTTTGATTTTGTATATGGTGGTATTTGCTAGAATCCATAATACCATGTATCTGAACAAGATGTCCAGGACCTCCAGCAAAAAAATAGGCCCACAACATTAAAGATCCAGTGGTATATTTAACCGTAGACATGGGGAACTTTTTATCCGTTTGCACCAAACACATCTGCCAAAAAGCCCTTTTTTTGTTTCATCTGACCAGAGAATCCGTTCCCTTTTGAATTTCCAGTCGTGTCTGACAACTGAATATGCTGGAGTTTGTTTTTGGACGAGTGAGGAGAATTTTTCTTGAAACCCTCCCAAACGACATGTGGTGATGTATGGGGTTGTTTGGTTTTTGTTTTATAGGCTTTCTGACCCCAAAACTAACTAATCTCTGTAATTTTCCATCTGTGATCCTTGGAGAGTCTTTGGCCACTCAATCTCTCCTCCTCACCGTGCATTGAGACAATATAGACACACGTCCTCTTCCTGGCAGATTCGTAACATCTTAAGTTGATTGGAACTTCTTAATTATTGCCCTGATGGTCAAAATGGGGATTTTCAATTCTTTAGCTATTCTTACACCCACTTTCTATTTTGTGATGCTCAACAATCTTGATGCACATCAGAACTATATTCTTTGGTTTTACTCATTGTGATGGATGATTAAGGGAATTTGGCCTTTGTGTTTCCGCATATTTAAACTCCTGTGAAACAAGAAGTCATAGCTAGACAATTTCATGTTCCTAGTCCTCCTGGTGTGCTAAACATATACTTCAGAGATATTTTACTGATAAAAAATTCTAGGGGTGCCAATAATTGTGGCCAACATGTTTTGGAGAAAAACATTTATTTCATAATGTGATTTCCCCCCCACTTTCAATTATTTTACTTCAATGAAAGGTTAGATTTTTGCACTTTTTTTAATGAAAGATCAAAAGGATAAACAATGCAGAATTATATGTTACAGCCATTTTTGATCATATTTACCAGGGGTGTCATTAATTCTGACCACAACTGTAATCAATCTGCCCTCTTATCTCTAATACTGCATTAAATCAATTGCAAAATTAATAACACACACACACACACACACACACAATTAACTTTTCTATTTCATGAATTAAAACAGTGATGAGACAGGAGTATACATGAATTATGGTTAATTAGTAAGAACCAACCAACCAAACTATCTCTCTTCACCAGATCCACCAGTGTCCATGTACTGATAACATTTGATTAATTAACCAGAATTAGCCATTCTCATGTGAATTAACCAAATTTCATATCTTATGATTGATATAATATAATAATTATATATAAGGAATATACCAGGAATTATATTTCTAGAAGAGAAAAAAATGTCTTAAATGTAATTGTGACTAAACCAAGAGTTATAATAAGTAGTATTAAATAAGAGAGAAAAAAGCAGAGTGTTAGTCGCTATAAAAAACAAGGACTTGCATTTAAGCCGTCTTAATGGAGAGAATTATTGGTGTTGTTAATTACACAGGCTCCATTGTCTAAGCTTGGATTAGTCACCATAGAAACACTTTAAAGGACTAGCCCAGCCTGATAAATGATTCAAGCTTTAATAAAAAATAAAAGATCACATTGAACATGCATGCAACAATAGATCTTTTTGATGTTGCATTCAACATTATTTGTAATTTATGCTTAAGCAATGTTTTGCTAAGCTAAATGTTTAGTTTAATATTTTGATTCGAACAATACAACAAGAGTCAATACCGATTTCCATACATTATGAAAATCTGCTCCACCAGCAATGCAGGAAGCCTCATTTGCTTAGCGTTAAACTTTACCTTGCCAAAAACAATGCACTTGAATGTGCATTACACCAGACTCAGCATCAGCATTATTTAAGCTTAATGCGGCAACACTTCCCTGCCCCCATAATACTTTCTTGCCCCCCTAAAAAGCCCTCCACTTATCCCTGAAAAAAACATCCACTTGTGTGTTTTCTGCTTGTCTGGTATAGATTTACTCATGCAGAAATCTCCCTTGTTTTGTGTGCTGTCAGACTATAAGGTCATCACTGTGCCAGGCACAGAGTGCCCGCTATATTAGTCTGTTAACTCGTGTTGTGGATGAACACAGACAAAAGAGTTAGTATAAAGTTTGGGATATGTAATGAATATTAAAACTTGTGGCTTTATACTTCAGTATCTGAAGAGAAGCATAATTGATTTGTATCTGTGATAAGCCATGTGCCTATGGGGGCAGGGAATGAGTGACCACTGATCATGCAAAAAAAAGAGGGTCATGTCACGTGACAATGCTCTTGACATAAGGGTCATTCACCCTGAATTATAATCGGAGTTCAAACAAAGCCCCATACTCCCTCTCCAAAAAACGTACACGCATGCTTTTATCTCCATTTAAAAAATACCACTTAAACTATTATATACCATTAGCTCCAAACCTGAAAACTCATCAACCCCTGCCATGCTTGAGTGTGATTTTTCAGAAGTCCAATCTTTACACAAACAATTCAAATCTCAGGGAGTCACAAGAAAAACAAAAAGATTAAATGACTCAGACCTACCAGCTCTAAAAAACTACAGCAAAGAACTTGAAAGAAAAAGAAAAGGAAAAACATCTGGAGAGAAGATATGTCTGTATATATAAATATCACCCAACTGTGGAGTGACTCTCAATAAAGTTGTTTAAAGAAATAGCCATGTAAATAAAATTTGGTTACATTTTTGTCCTTTTTTCCTCAAATTCATTCACGTATTGACGTCTTTTATGTTTGTTTTGGGAATTATCCATGCACATCTTTTTTTTTTATATAAATGCACGTGCCCTCGTAATCTTTAACCAAAATAGCTTCCCCTCCCTCTTGCAGCAACATCTCTTCTATTCTCTGATGACGTGTTTACTGGCGTGAGGGCAGGACAACCTGTCATTCACATAAGATCACAGATCTTGCACAGCAAACCACAATGATTCAACAATCCAATCAATTGCTGAGAGTCAAAATCCCACCCTACATTTCTTCTTTTGCGAGAACTCGGGTATAGGCCTACATCACAATAGGGAAAACAAGACTGCCACAACTTCCGTTTCATGCCAAAGCCAAATTTAAGTATGAGAAAAAGGACCCAAGGTCTAACTAGGACCAAGGAGCAGGACCCGGAGCACAGAACGTTTTAATATATTTATTCGTGCAAAATGACCAACGTTTCGACGCACATGCGTCTTCTTCAGAGTCAAACAGTCAATGGCAACAATATACAGAATTTAAAGAGTCAAAATTCAAGGTATTGGCCACATGCCTAGGTGGGTGTGGAGCAACAATTATCCAATCTTATACAAGCACTCAAGTCTAAATCAAAAAAACCACATATACATATACACAAATACATGTTCCAAATTTAAGTATGTAAAGCCACTGTGGAATATTATTACCACATCTTTTTTCAAACTCAAAGTTAATTGACAAATAGGGAGTAAAACTGATAATATGTTTTTTTTTGTCAACAAATAGGTAAAAATAGGAGAAATGTTCCTAGTCAACCACAGAAGTTCCAAGTAGATGGTTGCCCATTATGAAAAAAATATATTAAAGTAATGCATTTATTAATGTCAATTCATAGAATGTACATTAAAATATTTGAGGGGAAACTGCATGGCATATATATATATATATATGCAAACATGATTGGCAAGCATATTTCAATGCTGCCTTACTGACGCTTGCTGCAGTTCTGACTGTCAGTGCACACTGCACAAAAGTTCTGATTGGTCATTGCATTCATTTGCTCAACTGACATGTCCGTGATTTGTTACAATGCAAAAACAAAAACATGTTTTTTAAAAAACATTTTGATGCAATGCGGGAGGACAAATGTAGCCTACAAATTGTGGCAATTGTGTAATTTTACTAAACCTATTTCTAAACCCCATAACCATTTCTTTAAAATATGTAGTTATAAAGACAAACATAACAGACAAGTGGAATCCCAATTTATCGATTGCAAAAATTTCAAAAGTGGTACCAAAAGTATAGTTCAAATGACAATGTGCTGCAGTCGCAGTCCTCTCTGGCGGTATAGTTTTGTATGAGATACAGAGCAGAATTTAAGTTAATTGCCGAGAATCTTATCCTGATCCACTCTGTGAAAGAGTACATTTCTCATTCAAATGCACATCACCCAAAACACGGCATGTCGCAATCTGTGACGAAGCAAGTGAGAGCCAATGAGCGTTTGATATCACTGCCGTAAAACGAGTTTGTAAAGCTTCCTGGGGCAAATGAAAGTGAATGGAGACAATGGGTTTATGCCCAAAAAACACAAAAAAAATTACTAATATTCTGAGAGGAAAACAAGCATCTGTTCAGCTTGACTTCTGAAAAAAACACATCTGTCTTTGATATAGCAGGTATATTAGATGTCATGAACGACTGAATTCATGTTAAGGTTTAGGGAACAACATTCCTTAGACACAATGACATCAGACAGACCACAGCTCTGACAACAGTAAGAGAAGAAAAACATCCTTAGTCAACAGTGATACTTGCACGCATGAGCGCTAAGTGAATTGAGCAGATGGTGCTTTGACAAGTCCAAAAATACAATTTACATTTGTATTTTGACTTCGACCAACTCTCCAAAAAAATTTTTTTTAGTCGGTTTACCCATGAATTAAAATTTTGTCATCAGTAACACCCTCATATTGTTCCAAACTTTCTTTCTTTCATGACGGACAAAAGGAGTTATTAAAAAAAATTATGTTTAAGCTGCTCTTTTAAATAAAGTGATTTTTATTTAATAAATAATTTCAGTTTGTTCCTCACATAAACTATCATTTGGCTTCATAAGCCTTAATATAGCGCATCATTAATATAAGCTACTTTTATGATGCTTTTAATTGCTCTTTTTTGTTATTAATGGAGCACAAATGGTAAATTCAGATGACAATCAGCTAAATGTCTCCTTTTCTGTTTCACAGAAGAAAGTCAGTCATACAGGTTTGGAACAAAATGATGACAGAATTTTTATTCTTGGCTAAACTAACCCTTTAATTTACATTTACACTATACTGTTCAAAAGTTTGCTTCAGAAAGATTTTTTTTATGTTTTTTAAAGAAGTCTCTTGTGCTGCATTTATTGGACCGAAAATACAGTAAAACAGTGAATTATTGTAATACTATGAAATATTATTGCAGTTTAAAGTTTCTATTTTTAATATATTCCTGTGATGCAAAGCTGAATTCATTCACAGACAGAGAGACAGACAGACATACAGACAGACAGACAGAGAGAAAGATAGACAGACAGATAGATTAGAGACAAATATTTATGACAAATAAACTATAAACCAAAGTGTCATCATCACTCTCATACCTGATAGACATCTCCCAGATGACAGCATGTCTGCAGGAACCTCCTACAGGGCACAAGCCCATCACTATAGCATCTCCTCAGCACCTGTTCAGTCAGAGTCCACACTAACTGACTTCCAGAGGCCAGTAGATCCTCAATGCCACAAAATAAGCCCTGCGCCATCGCTGTTTGTTTGGCACACTGGGAAGCTGTGCTCCCTCAGAGGCTGATGTAACCTAACTGGAGCCTGGAAGAGCCAGGGTCGGAATGCCACTGGCTGGGTTTGAGGCTCTGTATATACTATATAGGCTTCTGTCCAAGACTTTCCCCCTTGGAGGAGAGCACAGAGAGAGGGCAGGCCACAAACAATCCACAGTCAGAGACAAGCCTACTGAGGCTTCATCATAACACAGAGTGACTGAGACACATACATAGACATACTTCAGTGATGCACAGTGCACACACTCATAAACAAAAGAATGTGACCACAAATAAGTGCAGACTCGTATACGCACACATATTTACGCAAATTGTTCACAATGGCCGCCCCAGCCGTGCCAGTCCCTTCTCGTAAACAAACGTTGTGGTTTCTCTGTGCTTTTTACAAGCTTATGTCTTTTGTGATCAACATTTTACAGACACTTATGTAAGGCCAATCAAAAGACAATGTTTTGGTAGTCATAGCGATTAAAAGTAAAAACTCACAGCTTTCTATTTTTGGCTCTTTTCTGGGAAGGTAAGGGTTACGTTTAGCGGTTTCTGTATGTAGCCTATGCGAGTGAAAGTGTGTATGTTAAGGGTGTAGTTTCCGCCAGACGCAACACTTCTCCAACCGACATATTCCATAAAGGAAAAACTTACAAAAATACTCACTGAGCCATCCGCAATATAAGAGGCTGATGTGTTATGATGACTAAATGGCCAAAGCAGCAAATTATAGAGGAAATTCAAAGGTCTTCATGGACATGGAATAAAAGGTTTTCCACAGCATCACTTCCTGTTCCAATCTGTTTAGATTACATTCAAAATGTCAGATATTTATGGAAGCCGGCTTCCACTTTTCTCTCAATCACGAGTTTATATCTGGCAAATTAGAGACAGTGTTAGATATAAACTCGCAATTGCGAGAAAAAAGTAAGAATTGTGAGATAAAAAGTTGCAATGACCTTTTTTTTTTTTTTTTACTCCGTGGCAGAAACAAGCTTCCATAAATTCATTTTGTAGCAATCCAAAAGAATATTTTTCATTCTCCTCCTGCTGTTTGTCCACGAGTTAAGGGTCTTGCATTACACATATTGGTGTTGAGTCCATCCTTAAGGGTCATTCTGGCAGGAAATTGGACAAATCAAAGAGGAACATGCACACACAGCTGTTATATCTGGCAGTAGTTTATAAAGATGTTTATATGTCACTACATGTTTGAAAGATTTAAATCTTCTAAAACATATAGAATGCACTAGAAATAAAGGGATTTGATGCAAACAGGCTCTTAATAGTAAGTGAAAAATAGATATTTGACACTTGAACTGGATATAGCTTGCTAAAATTGCTCATTTCAAGAGGTATACAATCTCAAAATGACGCAAAACAAAGACCATGAGAACGGAGAAACAAAAAACTAAATTCAGTTAAGTGGTAGCTCCATTGTTAAAATCTACTAAGAAATATAGGCCAATCAATATAGACTACATGTTTGCAAGACAGACTGTTCTTTGATGAATAGGTATAGAAAGCTCAAAAGAACAGCGTTTTCTTGAAACAGAAATCGTCATTTTGCGATTTCAATCACCACAGTTACAGGCAGCCACACCCCTTAGTCTTTTTCGACTAGGGAAAAAGTTCCAGGAGTTCACCTCTTTCGGCAATACAGGTGACAGACTGCTCATGCTCGAACCAACCGGAGGGGAAGGGGTCGTGTTACTCTCTACGCTGCACATACGCTGAATTCCTGCACTTTCTGTCTTTGACGAGACCAAGCGGAAACCTTCCGGTCTTCTCTCTCTTGCAATTCATCGATTGGCCGCTAGAGACAGGCTCCAAAAGAAAGTCAATCCCATAGCCATAACCATGTTAAAATGGCCAACTTTAAAGCAGAAAAAAAATATGTTTACAGCCCGGTGCAAAAAGTGGTTTTGGTCTATATAGCTAATTTTACCCTTCATGACAACTGTGAAGGGGGTGAATTTTTTAAAACTCATCTGTTTAAATTATATTAAGCCATAACATTTTTTAATAATTAAGGGCATGGCCACTTGAGTGACAGGTGGATTTCCGCTGCTGCCACTACTAGCCGTTTGTCTGCTGTCAGTTAGCCGTCACGTCGCCTCAGTTAATCCCGCCTTTTTGCCCATTTTCAGTTATCCGGGAGTGACACGCTGCCAAGATGGTGACGGCCGGCTCCGTCCACTTTGGGCTTCAAAAATGCTCTTCAGAAACCTACGGGTGACGTCAAGGACACTACGTCCATTGTTTTGCAGTCTATGTACGAGACATACAAAAACAGCTCATACGCAGGAGTGGTATAACGGAAAAATAGAGTGGACTTTTTCAAATCGCGGTTGAAACCGGTAACCGGCCCATGCCTACTGAAGACTGTAGTAGTAATGCAGCAACATTTTTTTATATATTAAAATTGAAAACAGTTCTTTAAATAATAAAAGTTCACAATATGACTGTTTTTACTGTATGTTTGATTAAATAAATGCAGCCTTGGAAAAAGTAAGAGACTTCTTTCAAAAACATTAAAAAATAAAATATTTCCAAACCATAAAGGCTAGCAATAGCAAACACAACCCTCTTGCAGTGCCACAGCTCCTAGGATATGTATATGGGTAATATGGCAAAAAATACAAGCTGTTGATTAAAAGGCATTAGTGTAAAGAGCCTCAAACCATGACTGACAAAGTTGAGACCAGCACTGCTCAAAAGTTCCCTCATGGAGTAGAGCAACCATTGATGTCAAGCGCTGATTGGATGCTGAGAGGCAAAGAGTCAAGGGTTTAAGTGCATTCTGGGAATTCAGAGAGCCTGTGGCATTGGTAAGAACAAACACGGGGGTTAGAAACAGGACATCCTGCAGTCTTACATCGATCTTACACCCCCCTCAACCTTAATGTAAAACTCCAGGCTGAAAACAATTCAAATTCCACAAAAAAATAAGACGTTTTTAATATTTTCTTTCATAATAGTCTAACATATGTAATAACAAGGCATTCTCTAATCAAATATGTCTGTATAATGGCTGCTAAGCTGTACAACCAATTTCTCATATGGTCCCATCAGTTCTTTATTCTCACATAATTTCTAAAAAAGATATAAAATAAAATAATAATATATAACAAAAAAAAACTGTATGAAAATTTTACTGTACATTACCCTTAAATATATGTTTTAGATGCAATATAAATATTTAGATGCTTTGATATTTGAAAAATATATATTCATTTTCAAATTCAATCTTCCCTATAATACCCCTATAGTTCAAAAATACTGAAAATTGATATTTTATTGTTTGCGTGAATCTGACGCAAACTCTCCTGTTATATAATTTGTTGATTAGCTAATGAATCCTAGTAGATTATATATTTAGCTCAGCATAGAATACACTGAGGAATAAGATGTTGAAAGTCATTCCCAATGGAAGTCTTGGGTAATAATTCTCTGGGTACATCTGACAAAAGTATCTGGTTAAACCTCTCAGGTGTGTGTGAGAGAGAGCAAGAACAAAAACAAAAACAAACACACATCAAATGCACATATATCACATACATAAAATGCTCAAAATGCAGGCTGTATATGAAATCCAAGTACAAACACACAAAGACATACAAACACATACACAACATAAGGTTCACACTCAAGAGCTTCTCTACGAAAGAAAAAGAATTGCCTGTATTCACAAACACACAGAGAAACCAAGGTTCACATGCTGTCTGCACCTTTAAAAGTAAACACAGCTGTAGCTTTTGAAGCCATATTTTAGGCCGAAACTCAAAAGAAAGCACATTGTGAGCTAAAACAAAGAGTTTTACATCAATGTGGGGGAAAAATATCAAATGGCAAGTCTAATTTCCACATGTTGTGTTTAAAAGGCAAAAACATCTGGGAGAACTATGCCCTATGAGTTAGTGATGAGTAGCGCAACTTGCGCTTTGGTTTGCGTCTGCGAGCCATGCATGCATTTTACAAACGTTACACGTTATTGCCACAGAAACTGAGATACAATTACAGCTTCAACTCGGCTTTGAATGATGACCTCACACATTGGCAATTGTCCAGTGTCATGTGCATAAACTCAAGCTCTCTTGTGACATAGGATCCTATTCATTTTAATGGCATTGACGCTTGATGGCACCCTGCTAGTAATTAAATGCCTATTGTATTTCCAAAACAAACAGGACAATTGAATGTTGTGTTATATGACGCAAGTAGTCAAGTAGTCCTTAAAATAACAGCAATTATAGACTGGGCCAGAAGGTGGTAATTTAATTCACAGTTGAATTAATAAATTGCATTCTTACAATCATATGAAAAGTAATAATCTTTACTACTCACTAGCCGTGCGTATACAAATTAGTTTATCAGCTTTGTAAAAATACCATCATATGTCAATAATGATACTATTAGGGTTGCACAATATTAAGGAAAAATGCATTAACTCGTTAAAAATGCAATATTCGATATGCAATACGATAATGCTTACTGTGCGCGTGAATACTTCACTTATTGCATTTAATAACATTAAGAATGTCACACGTATGTAACAGTCATGTGTCGTCTACTCTCTGCTGTCTGCGTCAACCTAAAACTTGGACTTTTTGTAATCTTTTAGAGTATTAAAATCATGCAGTTATCGCAAGCCGTTATGATATGTACTTCTGTCAGGACCACTATCGTCAAATACGATTGACAATTAGCATACAGTTTGGATTGGCGGTATGGTTCCATTCTGGGCGAGAACTCCCTGCGCATCCATGCAGCCTAGCATGGATAAGAGCAGAGAGAGCAGAGCAGCAATAACCCCCCTTAGGGTAAACAGAACAGAATCAACATGAATGTATTGCAGATATAATTAATTCAAGATTTTAAAATACAACATAATTTGAGAATTTATTCTGATTCAAGGGGAATCAGAATGCCAAATGCTGACTGGGCGAGAGGAGGAGTGTAATTAGCTCCTGAGAAACGCGATAGCTGCTGATAATACTGAAGGAGCTTATACATGTATAGAGTGATAGACGTCGTATTCCTAT